CATTGGCACCAGATGGACATGATTGTCTTTTATTCCATAGAGGTTGTTGTTTTTTTAATGCCTGTAGAGTCCGGCTGGTGTGGCTAGTGGACTGAGCATTTTCCCATTGACTGAGAGGTCGTGGTTTGATTCCTGGTCAGGGCACATGCCCAGGTTGTGGACTTGATCCCCAGGAAGAGGTGTGCCAATTGATGTTTTTCTCTCATATCAATGTTTCTATCTCTCCCTTCCTCTCTCTTTAAAAAAATCAATTTTTAAAAAACATGTTATAAAATTTAAAAATAAAAATGCCTATAGAAGTCAAAGTATTTTTTTAAAAACCTTTATGGCCAAATGTTTGCTAATCATTACTTCGGAAACGCAAAATTGCTGCTGCTGCTGCTGCTACCACCACCTCCTTACACAGCAAGAACTCCTCCGCAAAAGTCCATCTGATTTCCCTCAATAAGTACACTGCTCTCATTTACAGAGTTTTCTTTCTTTCCCAAAATGGTTTGCTGGCATATGGCCATAAAGACCGGGAGCATTAAGTGAAGGAATACAAACCGAGAGAAATTCCGAACACAGAAGGTCTGATCACATTCAGGGCTGGTAGGAAAAGCAGTGAAGTGGACACCTGTGCCCAACTGGTGGTAAAGGGAACTGCAACCACCCTTTTAAAAAGTTTGTCCATACAGAAATGCTTCCTTTAACGAGATGCTTCTACTACTAGGGAAATAATCCACGAGGTGCCATTGACTATGCATACAAAAACAATAATTACGGTGCTATTCAAAACTACAGAAATTACAATCTAGCCATCCTATACTAAAGGGCAAGTTTAATAATTGATAGCAACATAATGTAACATGATACAGCCATTTATAATAATTACACCAAAGGACTTCCGGTCAAGATGGCGGCATACGGTATCGCATCCTCCCATAACCACATCAAAGTTACAACTAAACTACAGAACAACCATCATTCAAAACCGCCTGAAATCAAGCTGAATGGAAGTCCTACAACTACGGAATTAAAGCAGCAGCCACATCCAGACTGGTAGGAGGAACGGAGGAGCAAGGGGCGGCAGCGGCGGAGGCGGCACGATGGGCTGGTCCCACACCCACGTGTGGCGGATAAAAATCAGGAGGCTACCTCAGCTGGGAAGGTCCTTCCTGAGGACTTAGGGGTCCCTGTCCCACACCAGATGCCCCGCTCAGGGTTCCAGTGCCAGGAAGAGAAGTCCCCATAACTTCTGGCTGGAAAAACCAGCAGAAACTGAGACACAGGGAAGCTGAAGCGGCTGGAGCCCCAAGCAGCTCCTTAAAGGGCCCCGCGCACAAACTTATCAAACTCACTCCCTCTAAGCTTGGAGGGGAGGCAGCTCGAGGGACACCAGAGACATACAGGGAAGAACTGAGCTGTTTGGCACTGGAGCGAGGGCTGGAGAGGGGGTTTTCTCCGGGACAAAAGTGCTGTCAGAGGCCTTTGTTCCTTTGGTGAGCCCTTCCCTGGGGCGGCAGACAGCCACCATATCTGGGACTCCAGCAACCTGGCTCACACTGGTAGCCCCGCCCTGCTGACTCCCTGAGGCCCCGCCCCACCCAACTTTCAGGCCCACCCAAGCTGTTGCCACTTGCTTAACCATAGGATTGGCCTGTCCTGGATCCTGCTTCAGGTTTTTCCCAAATTCTTTCAAACAATCAGAATCTGGTCTCAGCTAGCTCCATACCTCTCATTAAGTAATACACTGAAACAAACACAGGGAGGCAGCCAAAATGAGGAGGCAAAGAAACAGGTCCCAAATGAAAGAACAGAACAAAATCCCAGGAAAAGAACGAAGCAAAATGGAGACAAGCAACCTAACAGATGCTGAGTTCAAAATACTGCTTATAAGGATGCTCAATGAACTTAGTGAGGGCCTCAAGAGCATAAAAAAGGACCATTCAGAAATTATGGATGCACAGTCAGAATTGAAGGAGGCATTTACTGAAATAAAGAATAATTTACACATATTCAATAGTAAAGTACATAAATCCAAGAAGCAAACCATCGATTTGGAATATAAGGAAGCAAAAAACGCCCAATCAGAACAGCAAAAAGAAAAAATAATCCAAAAAAATGAGGATAGTGTAAGGAGCCTCTGGGACAACTTCAAGCATGCCAACATTCACATCTTGGGGGTGCCAGAAGGAGAAGAGCGAGAACAAGAAATCGAAAACCTGTTTGAAACAATAATGGCAGAAAACTTTCCTAACTTGGTGAAGGAAACAGACATACAAGTCCAGGAAGCACAGAGAGTCCCAAACAACATGAACCCCAAGAGGCCCACACCAAGACACATCATCATCAAAATGCAAAAGGTTCAAGACAAAGAGAGAATCTTAAAAGCAGCAAGAGAAAGGCAGCTAGTTACCTATAAGGGAGTTCCCATAAGGCTGTCAGCTGATTTCTCAAAAGAAACTTTGCAGGCCAGAAGGGAGTGGCAAGAAATATTCACAGTGATGAAAACCAAGAACCTACAACCAAGATTACTCTATCCTGCAAAGCTGTCATTTAGAATCGATGGTCATATAAAGACTTTTCCAGACAAGAAAAAGTTAAAGGAGTTCATCACCACCAAACCGTTATTATATGAAATGATGAAGGGTCTTTTTGAAGAAAAAGATAAAATATATGAACAAACAAAATGGCAATGAATACATATTTATCAACAATGGAATCTACAAACAAAATGAACAGGTAGAACAGAAACATTCTCATAGATACAGAGAACATTTTGTTGGTTGCCAGATGGGAAGGGCGTGGGGGAATGGGTGAAAAAGGTGAAGGGATTAAGAAGTACAAATTCATTGCTAGACTGACAAACCTCAAAGGGAAAGGGGTTGGGGGGTGGGAAGAAATAAACCAAAAACTTATATGCATAACCAGTGGACACAGACAATAGTGTGGGAAAAGGGGGGAGGGGGGCCGGAGTGGGGAGGAGGGGGTCAGTGGGGGAAAAATGTGGAACATCTGTAATACATTTTACATTCAACAATAAAAATTTTTTTAAATAATAATAATAATAATTACACCAAAGTGTTGATCTGGGGAAGTTTCTCTTTCTAGAAGTATTTCATCTAATAAATCCAGAAGTGATAGCATTAAATTATCATTATGTACAATCTCTAATGAAGTCACAGATCTATGTAATGAGCATCAATAACTGCTAACATCATAAAAGACAAACAACTCAACGCTGAAACATTCTTGTCTAAAATTCAACACTGAATCTATCCATGCACCTGGGTCTAACCATAAGTTTTCAGGAAATATAAGGAACATAAGAAAATGTTAAATGCTGCAATCTGCTAAATTGATAACATAGGAAAGTCATGGGATAAAAGTATACTGTACTTTCTTTGTCAAATACATTATGAGGCAAAACAAGAGAGGGAGGGAAAGTCTATTGCTTTTAAAAGATTTAAGAAACACACCAACCGACAACTAAACTACAGAACAACCATCATTCAAAACCACCTGAAATCAAGCTGAATGGAAGTCCTACAACTACGAAATTAAAGCAGCAGCCACATCCAGACTGTTCAAGATTGATCAAGGCAAGCCTTTCATACTTGAGGAACACATGGAAGAAATAAACAGTTGGTTCTCTGCCAATAATGTGGAACAGATTCTTGAAAATTTACAGCAAGATGGTTCATCTTTTGCCCTAGAGCAGTTGAAGGTAATTAATAAAATGTCTCCAACATCTCTAAAGATCACATTAAGGCAACTCATAGAGGGGTCTTCAAAGACCTTGCAAGAAGTATTAACTATGGAATATCAGCTAAGTCAAGCTTGTATGGGAGGCCATGACTTTTTTGAAGGTGTCAGGGCAGTTTTAATAGATAAAGACCAGAGTCCAAAGTGGAAACCAGCCAATCTAAAAGAAATTACTGATGAAGATGTGAATAATTATTTTAAATCTCTGGGAAGCAATGATTTGAAATTTTGAAGTGACTGGATTTTGAAGGTATTTTGGAGCAGGGGTTGGCAAACTACGGCACAGCGCCCAAGTCTGGCCTGCTACCTGTTTTTTATATACCCTGCAAGCTGAAAATGTCTTCTGCATTTTTAAGTGGTTTGGGTAAGAAATCAAAGACTAATATTTCATAACTTGTGAAAATTGCATAAAATTCAAATATCACTGTCCATAAATAAAGCTTTATTGGAAAAAAGAAAAAAGAAACATACCAACCAAATGCAATCTATTGACCTTGTTTGGATGCTGATGTAAACAAATGAACTATAAAAGCCATTATTTTAGGCAATTTAGGAAATGGGAACACTGATGAGATATTTTATGAGATTAAGGTTTATCATGAGCTATTTTTGGTGTGACGATGGTTATATGGTTAATTTTTTAAGAATTCATATTTTAGAAATATATTTGAAATATTTATAGATGAACTGACATAAAATGTGATACTTGTTTCAAGTTGATATAGCTTGTGAACAGGGAAAGCAGGAGTATATAGATGAACCCAATATGGCCACGAGTTGATCATTGTTAAGATGGGTTCATTTTACTATTACTTTTAGTTTTGTATATGTTTAAAACTTTCATAATAAAATATCAAATAAGAACCAGAATTGTAAATGAAAATTTGCATGAACAAACACTGAATAAACAATACACAGAATAATACATGTAATGTGATTGCCATCATGAAAATATGCTTGCACACATTCAGGAACTAAAGAGGATCATTTTCTAGCCTAAGCTAACTCCTGTATAACAGTTCAGAAACTTCTGGCCTGGGCCCAGGCAGGTTGCTGGCCCCTCAGCTGTGTGCAGGCCTCAGGCTGTGGTCCTGATGCACCTGGGGGGTAGGGGGGCAGCCCCAGGAGCAACCCCCTACCTGATCTGGCCTTGCTGTTTTTCATTTTTAAAATCTCAAATCTGCCTAACCTGGGCATGACAGCAGAGCATCAGGGCCTCTTACACTGCACAGGTGAACTTGATCACTTGTTACCTTTCAATCTGGGACAGGAACTTGGTCTCAAAGATGCCTCTGGTCCGGAGACGCTCTGAAATCTGCCCACGGAAGAGGAGCCCCTGCTTGGTCAGGTCAATCAGGATCTGCCGCACAATCTCCCCCAGGTACATCCCACTGGTCATCTTCTCATATCTGTTTGGGGAAGAGGGACAGCGTTGGTAAGGGCAAGAAAATCAGCACCGATGAATGGTTCCCCAAAGGACCATGGGTTCGGGTGTGGAAGGCACACCATTGGCCTCCAGCTGCCTGGCTCGGAAGGTTTCAGAGTGAGCAGTGGGCCAAGAGAAATGCAACGGGAAAGCCTGGCTTCAGAGCATGTTCACCAGGAGCCAGGTCCCAGCCCTGACACATATTAAGAGCACAACCTGAGCAAGTGTTAAGCTGTCATCTATAAAACGGAACAAAGGACTGACCCCACAAGACTGTCGGGAGGCAAGCACCCAGGGCACAGTAGGCACTGAGCAAAAGCTATTCCCTCGCCTGGCCCCAAAGCCAATTCTCCATGGCTTTGTATCACAAAGCCAACGATCTGTTCTACTGGAGATTCCGAGACTTTATATTGGAAGAAATCTATTCCACTAGAGATTCTGCTCCATAAGGTAATATATTTAAATTTTTTTAAATTGATTTTTGAGAGAGAGTTAGGGACGGAGGGAGGGAGAGGGAGAGAGAGAGGAAAAACTGATCAATTGCCTCCTGCACATGCCCTGACTGGGAACCAAACCCGCAACCTTTTTGCTATACGGGACGATGCTCCAACCAACCAAGCCACTGGCGGGGGCAAGGTAATACATTTACATTGTCTGCACACACCAGGGATGCTCAAAAATGTTATCTCCCCATCCCCTTTCTATCAGGCTGTGAGCAATGTGAGGAAGGAGCAAGAGAAGGTGCTTGTAACCAGCAGGCACTGAGCAGGCAGTCTGTGCAAGGACGTGTGACAGTCGTCAGTCACAGGGACGCAGAGCTGGACTGCCACTGCCCGCAGGGCCAGGTGGAAATCAAAGTGTGCCTGAGCCTGGGTGCTGGACTTGCGTGTTCTCTGCACTGCTCAGGCCCTAACATGAACCCAAGGAACCAAGATGAAACCAACAGATTATGGCAGCAAGGTCGAACGGGCTGCCTCCTGTTCTCTCTCCAAGTATGTAAGCCTCCAGTAGATTGACACAAAACTGAGTCAAAGGAGCTTGCCCCTTGAAAAAAGCCATGATATTTGGATGCCCCAATGTGGATTTCAGAGATAAATACATTTATCGGATTTTTTCTTTTTGGAGCAGTCCCTGGTTCAGCTGGGCTTGGCACGACTCACCTGCCTTCCAGCTGCAAAGACTAGTGCCAACAGAAGACAAGGACCCACGGGGCCTCTTCTGTATAGTGTTGTCGGTTCGACAGTTACCAAGGGGTTTGTGGCCCAGGCGTCCTGTTACAGATCCCATCTGCTCAACTTCCTCCCTTGGCTATTGCCCATCACAGCACATCTGTATTTCCATCTTGTTTTATATATTAAGACACTGAGTTTAGTTTTGACCTGAGAGTAAAACATTAATTCTCCGGCACGTTATAGAAAAAGTTCGCCAGCCCCTGTTGGGACAAGCCCCATTTAATGACCAATTCCTAGCATGATAATCATATCCCTATCTACTCCTTTCCTTCCTACTCAAGATGGTATATGGGAATGCAAGTGGAGATGTACTCTATTTTTACAAAAGAACCATTCATTATTTTCAGTGATTTTAGTATGGTCAGTAATTGGAATACACCTCACAGGTGACCGTGACCCAGGCTGAGACATGACATCATGGTTGAGAATCAGGACTCCCATCCTCCACCTGCGGCCACTTGGTTGCCCCAGAACAACAGAGGTCAGCAACTTGACAGCCAGCTCTTGAAAGGCTGAGGATGTTGACCTCTAAATGGAACCCCCTGAAGCCCATCCTGAGAGGGCCCACAGAGTCACCATGCCCCTACTCTGTGAACCTGGCCCACAGACTGCCTCTGCCTCACTTCCAAAGCCATCACTAGTTCTTATGGTATCCTATAGTAATTAGAAAAGGGCAACCCTTCTTTCTATTTATTGGAAATGTGTCATAATATTTTGCTTTTGTTCAAATAAGATAGTACACTGACATCTGACATCTGATAGAGAGTCGTAATCAATGCACAAAGCTATAGTGTCTATAGGACAATGGTACCCACGCCCCAGATCTGGTAAAGTTGTATATGCATAACCTGCATAAACATACACATCCGCCTTCTCACCTCTGTTTGCCAGGATTCAAGGACCCCTCATCCACCTCCTTGTCATACTGGGTCCGGATGCCATCTATACAGCCATTATCTCCAAATCCGCCCCACTCAGTGTTGATGCACATCCTCCCTTCATCCTCTTCCACCAGCTCGATGTTCTTCATGTCCTCCATGTAGCACATGTTGCTGCCCGTTCCTAGAAGGAATTGTGAAGAGACCTAAGTCTTCACAAGACACTACCAGGTCTTAACGAGGCAGCAGAGTGCAGTGGATAGGAATTCAGGTTGGAGTCAGATAAAACTGGGTGTGGACTCCAGCTTTACACTCATTGCTGCATGACCTTAGACAAGTAGCTCATCTTTCAGAGGTCCAGTTTCTCCATCTGTGAAAAGGAAATGATACCTGCCTTATAGATTGTTATAAAAAAAAAAAAAAATGAGATGACAGGAAGATGTGAAAATGGTGGCGGAGTGAATGGAAGCTACACAGACGATTTCCCAGGACCAAACGGGAATTACAACTAAAATAAAGACAAATCATCGGAAAAAAAACAAAAAAACAGAAAAGCAGTGGGACAGGACCATATAACCAGGGACATCGGTAGGATCTGCGGAGGCAAGAAGATGGCGGGCTGGGAGCCTACAGACAGCTGTTAGCAGCACCCTTGGGGATAAAGTGCTAAGCTTGCTCCACAGCACAGAGCCAGAACAGAGCACTGGATTGGCTACAGCCACTCACCTGGGGCTCCGGCAGAGGGAGGGCAGACTGGACTGGAGCTCTGTAAGGACACCGGGATTAGGAGGGCACTCAGAGTTTTTGCTGAGTCGTGGCCACAAAGAACGGTGGCCAGCTTGCTCCTTCCCAGAGCTGTGGGGAAAAGCAGCAGCCCCTCCCTCGGAAATTCAGCCCCTTACCAGTGAGGCAAAGAAATGCAAATTGAGGCTCATTAACAACTAGCATCTGTCCCACCCTCTGGAAATCTTCTTACATGGAACACCAGGGCTACATTCCAAGGCTCTGAGTAACTGAGACAACCTCCAGGCAAAAAGTTAGAGCATAACTGAACCTTTCCTGGGCTTGCAAATCTACCCAGGAAAGTAAGACTTGAAAGTGGTGTTTAACGTGGGTCATCCAAACCCAGTAGAGGGAGCCACAAACAGCAGAACACCAACACCCACAGGGAAAATTTGGCAGGCTTCAAAACCCACTGAGATAGTCAAAATGGTGAAACAAGAAAACAAATCCCAAATTAAAGATCAAGAGGACTTTATCTAAGATAAGAGAAATGAAATGCAGTTAAGCAGATTATCAGAGGTAGAGTTCAGAGCCATGATCTTAAGGAAGCTCAACAGCATGAGTAAGGACATCAACGCCATGAGTAAAGATATAAAAACATTGAAAACCAACCAAGTGGAAATGAAGAATGACATAGCAGAAATAAAGAACACATTGGAAGGGACTAATCAGCAGAGTAGAGGAAGCTGAGGACCAGATCAGTGAATTAGAAGATAGGGTAGAAAAAATCAACCAATCAGAGAACCAAAAGGAAAAAAAAACAATTAAGAGAACTGTGGGACAACTGGAAACATAATGACATTCGTATAATAGGAGTCCCTGAAGAAGAAGAAAATGGGCAAGGGTTAGAGAATATATTTAAAGAAATAGTGACAGAAAACTTTCCTAACTTGGTGAAGGAAGAAGGCATTCACGTTCAAGAAGCACAGAGAGCCCGAAGTAAGAAGAACCCAAATAGGCCCACACCAAGAAACATAATAATTAAAATGCCAAAAATTAAAGACAAAGAAAGAATCCTAAAGGCAGCAAGAGATAAGCAACAGGTTACCTACAAAGGAACCCCCATAAAGGTTATTATCTGACTTCTCAACAGAAACACTACAGGCCAGAAGGGAGTGGCATGAAGTAATCAAGGTCATAAAAAACGAGGATCTGAATCCAAGTCTACTCTGTCCAGCAAGGCTATCATTCAAAATAGAAGGTCAAATAAAGAGCTTCCCAGACAAAAAAAAAAAAAGGCTAAGGGAATATATTAGCACCAAACCAGCATTGCAAGATATGTTAAAAGGACTACTGTAATTAGTAGAAGAAATAGGAAGAAAAATAGAACCACACTAAACAAAAATGGCAATAAATAAGTATATATCAATAATCACCTTAAATGTAAATGGTCTGAATGTTCCGATAAAAAGACACAGAGTAGCTGACTGGATAAGAAAGCATGACTCATCTATATGTTGTTTACAAGAGACCCACCTCACAACAAAATACTCACATAGGTTGAAAGTAAAGGGATGGAAAAAAATCTTCCAAGCAAACAGAAAGGAAAAAAAGTTGGGGTAGAAATACTCATATCTGACAAATTAGATTTCAAAATGAAGGCCATAACTAGAGACAAAGAAGGCCACTACATATTATTGAAAGGATCTATCCAACAGGAAGATATAACCTTGGTACACATATATGCACCCAATATAGGAGCACCAAAATATATTTGAAATCTTCGGGAGGACTTCAAAGAGAAATCAACAGCAATACAATACAATACAAAACTTCAACACCCCGCTGACATCACTGGATAGATCATCTAGACAAAAAAATAACAAGGAAACACAGACTCTAAATGAAGCACTAGACCAAATGGATTTAATAGATATCTACAGACAATTACACCCCAAAACCGCAGAATTCACATTCTTCTCAAGTGCACATGGGACATTCTCAAAGATAGACCACATGTTAGGACACAAACTAAGTCTCTACAAGTTCAGGAAGACTGAAATCATATCAAGCATCTTCTCAGATCACAATGGTATGAAACTAGAAATCAATTGCAACAAGAACATGCAAAGACATTTGAACACATGGAAGCTAAATAGCATGTTATTGAACAATGAATGGGTTACCATGGAGATCAAGGAAGAAATTAAAAACTTCCTGGAAACCAATGAAAATGAACACAAAACAACACAATATCTATGGGAGGCAGCGAAAGCAGTTCTGAGGGGGAAGTTCATGGAACTACAAGCCCACCTCAAGAAACAAGGAAAATTTCTAATTGATTGTCTAACCTCACAACTTAAAGAACTAGAAAGCAAACAAAAAGAAAACCCCAGAGCAAGTAGAAGGAAGGAAATAGTAAAGACCAGAGCAGAAATAAATTACATAGAGACCAAAAAACAATTCAAAGGATCAATGAAACAAAGAGCTGGTTCTTTGAAAAGATAAACAAAATTGATGGACCCTTAGCTAGACTCACCAAGAAACAGAGAGAACCCAAATACACAAAATCAGAAATGAAAGAGGAGAAATAATAACTGACACCACACAAATACAAAGGATTGTTAACAAATACTATGAACAATTATACCGCAACAAATTCAACAATCTAAAAGAAATAGACAAATTTCTTGAAACACATAGTCTCTCAACACTGAACCGGGAAGAGCTAGAAAACTTGAACAGACCAATAACAACAAAGGAAATTGAAAATGTAGTCAAGACGCTCCCAGCAAACAAAAGCCTAGGCTCAGACGGCTTCACGGGGGAGTTTTACCGAACATTCAAAGAAGAACTAATACCCATTCTCCTCAAACTATTTCAAAAAATTCAAGAAGGAAGACTTCCAAACTCATTTTATGAGGACAGCATAATTCTAATTCCAAAACCAGAAAAAGACACTACAAAGAAAAAAAACTACAGGCCAATATCCCTGATGAACATAGACGCCAAAATCCTGAACAAAATACTAGCAAATCGAATCCAGCAATACATCAAAAAAAGTTATTCACCATGACCAAGTGGGATTCATCCCAGGGATGCAAGGCTGGTACAATATTATTTGTAAGTCAATAAATGGGATACACCATATAAACAAAATGAAAAATAAAAATCATAAGATCATATCAATAGACGCTGAAAAAGCATTTGACAAAATCCAGCACCCATTTCTGATAAAAATGCTCAGCAATCTGGAAATAGAGGGATCATATCTCAACATAATTAAGGCCATATATGAAATACCTACAGCCAACATCATACGCAATAGGCAAAAACTAAAAGCATTTCCCTTAAGAACAGGAACAAGACAAGGATGCCCACTTTCGCCACTCTTATTTAATATAGTACTGGAAGTCTTAGCCACAGCAATCAGACAGGAAGAAAAATAAAAGGGATCCAAATTGGAAAGGAGAAAGTAAAACTGTCATTATTTGCAGATGACATGATACTATACATAGAAAACCCCAAAGACTTCATCAAAAATTTACTAGACTTAATAAATAAATTTGGCAAAATAGCAGGATACAAAATTAATGTCAAGAAATCAATGGCTTTCTTATACACCAATGATGAACTCACAGAAAGAGAAACTAAAAAAACAAACCCATTTACCATCGCAGCAAAAAAATTTAAGATACCTAGGAATAAACTTAACCACAGAAATAAAGGACCTATTCACAGAAAACTACAGGTCATTGAAAAAAGCAATAGAAGTTATAAAAAAGTGGAAGCACTTACCTTGTTCATGGATTGGAAGAATTAACATCACTAAAATGTCCATACTACTCAAAGCAATCTATAGATTCAATGCAATCCCCATCAAAATACCAACAACATACTTCACAGAACTAGAACAAACACTTCAAAAGTTCATATGGAACCAAAAAAAGACCCCGAATAGCCACAGCAATCTTGAAAAAGGAGGACAAGGTTGGAGGAATCACATTACCAGATTTCAGTTTATACTACAAAGCGACTGTAATCAAAACAGCCTGGTACTGGCACAAGAACAGGCAGATAGATTAATGGAACAGAATAGAGAACCCAGAAATGGACCCAAGGCAATATGCTCAATTAATATTTGACAAAGGGGGAAAGAGCATACCGTGGAGTCAAGACAGCCTCTTTAATAAATGGTGTTGGGAAAATTGGACAGCTACATGCAAAAAATGAAACTAGACCATAAACTTACACCATATACAAGAATAAACTCAAAAAGGATAAAAGACTTAAATGTGACTCATGAATCCATAAAAATTCTAGAAGAAAATATAGGCATCAAAATTTCAGACATCATACGCAGCAGAATTTTCACTGATACATCACCTAAGGCAACAGAAACAAAGGAGAAAATGAACACATGGGACTACATCAAACTAAAAAGCTTCTGCACAGCAGAAGAAACAACCACCAAAATGGAAAGGCAACCCACTCTACGGGAGAGCATAATTGCCAATGATACATCAGATAAGGAGTTAATTTCCAATATATAGAGAGTGCTCATACAGCTCAACAAAAGGAAGACAAAGAACTCAATTAAAAAGTGGGCAGAGGAACTAAATGGACACCTCTTCAAACAGGACATACAAATGGCCAAGAGACATATGAGGAAATGCTCAACATCATTAATCATCAGAGAGATGCAAATTAAAACAACAATGAGGTATCACCTCACACCTCTCAGAATGGCCGCCATCAACAAATCATCAAACAACAAGTGCTGGCGAGGGTGTGGAGAAAAGGGGACACTGTTGATGGGAATGCAGACTGGTGCAGCCACTATGGAAAACAATACGGTGTTACCTCAAAAAATTAAAAATTGAACTTTCATTTGATCCAGTGATCCCACTTCTAGGAATATACCCTAAGAAGCCTGAAACACCAATCAGAAAGAATATATGTACCCCCATGTTCATAGCAGCACTATTTGCAATAGCTAAAATCTGGAAGCAGTCCGAATGTCCATCAGTAGTGGATAAAAAAGCAGTGGTACATATACACAATGGAATACTACGCAGTGGTAAGAAAGAAAGATCTCTTATCCTTTGAGACAACATGGAGGGACCTGGAAAGTATTATCCTAAGTGATACAAGCCAAAGAAAGACAAGTATCATATGATCTCACTTATTTGTGGAATTTAATGAACATATCAGTCTGAAGAACAGAGTAGTCCCAGAGACGTGAAAGTAGGGTACAGACTGACAATCCCCAGAAGAGGGGTGGAGAAGAGGAGGGGAGGAGAGACAAACCACAGAACTTATATGCATGTATGCATAACCAATAGACATGGACAACAAAGCTGGGGACAGGGCGGGGAGGGAAGGGGAGAAGGGTGTCAATGGGGGAAAAAGAAGAAACATTTGTAACATAAATAAATACATACATACATACATACATACATACATAAAATGAGATGATAACCCAGCTGGTGTGGCTCAGTGGTTGAGCATTGACCCATGCACCAGGAGGTCGCTGGTTCAATTCCCGGTCAGGGCACATGCCCAGGTTGTGGGCTCGATCCCTAATGAGGGGCATGCAGGAGATAGCCAATCAGTGTTCTCTCTCTCTCTCTCTCCCTCTCCCTTCCTTTCTCTCTAAAATCAATAAACAAAAATTTTTTTTAAATGAGATGATATTCATAAGTTTCCTCCACATAGTAAGTATTCAATAAATGGTGATATCATCATCATCATCATCATCTTTATCGTTATCGTTATCGTCATCATTGTTAAGCTATAGGCACACAAAATGAGCTTCCAAGTAGTCACAGAGTTAGCAGTCAGAGCTGGAAGAGACCACGAGGAATCATCTAGTCTTGGAAAAGCAAATGTGTGGCATCTATAAGTCTTTGCCCATGACCTGGCCTCAGAACTATTCTCAACACAACAGTCCAGGCAACTACTATATTTAATGAAACAAGTCCCGCCTCTTTTCTCTCCTATATCTAGCCCAACCCTTTCCATAGATGAGAACATTCAATTCCAGACAGAATAAGTAAACCTGCCCAAGGTCACCAAGTGGGTAAGAGTTGGAGTGAGGTGAAACCTCTTACCTGGCATTGGAAACATCTTACTATATCCCCATCTTCTTGTTCCACTTGCCACTCACCTCCAGGAACCCCAGACAACCAACTGGAACAACTTTCACAGGTTGTCATTACTTACCCTGTGCCTGTCAGTTGGAACATCTCCACGTGTTCAACTCCCACCCTTCTCCCCACCTCAGAGCCATCCCACTGGAACCCACCCAAGTTCTTAATCATGGCCAGACTTCTCCCATAGACCCTTAAAATGCCTGTCTCACCTCAGGCCCTTCCCCCTCTCCTAGGTTTTTTTCAAAGTCTTCCCATCCCATGCACCCTGACAACCATAAATGGTTAGAACAAAGGAGGTGTACATTGGAGCCAGCCTCAGGCCAACATGATTTAACTGAGGTCTCCTTCCTCCCAGTATAAATTGTTCCAAGGTCCTCATCTAAAATTCCCTCTTTTTATATCATTCTCCTCCTTCAACAGAAAGGACAATTTTGGCTTAGCATCCTTAATGAAGAAAGACATTAAGTAAAGACGTGGGACTTAGGAAACCTGGAATCCCAATCTTAACTTCATCTCTGCCTTGACAAAGCCATCTTCAGAGCCTCTGTATAATGGAACAATGGCCCTCCTGTCCCTCATTATGTTAAGATGGAGCTTCCAAAGAATCAGATGGGAGTAGACCAATGGGACATGCCCGAACACCTACCCGCAATCAGGCCAATCTCACACTTGGGATCTTCATAGGCACAGGTCATCATGGTCCCCACTGTGTCATTCACGACTGCAACTATGTCCAGGTCAAATTCCTGCAAAGGAAGCAGCTCTACTGTAGGTAGAATGTGCAAGCCAAACAAAGTTAGGAGGGGCATATCAACCCGTGGTGGGGGTGACATATGAGAGACAGAGGTCAGAGTCACAGGGCTGGACATAGGATGGTAGAGCTGAGTGGCCTGGAGGAAGGGGCTAGGTCAGGTGTGAGCCTCAACACCATATCGTACGTTTCTCCTCTTGATGGCTTCCCTGAGCATGTCCACCATGTCTTCCCCTTCACAGTCAGTAGCCTTAAAGCCTTTGGTCCACTCAATGAGTGTCCCCTGAAAGAAAGGAGAGGAAATTCATTTGAGCAGTCTTTCTGGTACCACTGCACAACCTCGACATCTAATAGGTAGTCAGATGTGTGTGCTTTTTTGTTGTTGTTGTTCAGCTAGAGTGGGAGGGGGAGACAGGAAGAGAGAGAGAGTGAGAAACATCGATGTGAAAGGGACACATCGAGTGGCTGCCACCCTCACAACCCAACCAGGGCCGGGGACAAACTGCAACTGAGGTACATGCCCTTAGCGGGAACAGAACCCTGGTCTCTCCAGACCGCAGGCCGATGCTCTAACCACTGAGCCAAACTGGCCAGGGCCAGATGTGTGTGCTTTTGACTGCTTCCATCTATGCAGCCCTAGCACTGGGCCCAGAGGCATTACAAAGCATGAGGTGCAGACAGGGTCTACTGCTGAGTGGAATAATTGCAGTAATTCACATTCACCAATGGTCAAACAGTGTTCCTGACCATGACTTCACAGAACAAAAGCCTCAATCATAGAGATCCCAATTCTAACTTACCCAAGGACAGGTTAAGATGTGATTAAAGATAAAGCTACAAAACATTTATCAAATCATTGTTGCACAGTAAAACACTAGAGGAATCCTATCATGTCAACAAAATGAATCTATCATCTTGTACATCAATGTAGGAAACATTATATAGCCATAAAAAATCATGCTGTAGCCCTGGCCAGTTTGGCTCAGCGGTTAGAGCGTCGGCCTGCGGTCCGGAGAGACCCGGGTTCGGTTCCCGCTAAGGGCACGTACTTCGGTTGCAGTTTGTCCCCGGCCCTGGTTGGTCGTGCGGGTGGTAGCCACCTGATGTGTCCCTTCACATCGATGTTTCTCTCTCTCTCCCTTCCTCTCTCTCCCTCCCACTCTATCTGTACAAAAAAAAAAAAAAAAAAAAGGAAAAATATCCTCGGGTGAGGATAAAAAAAAAAAAAAATCATGCTGTAAGAGAACACTGGATGTTAGAAAAAGATGTTCACCATACACTAAATAAACACACTTTAAACAAATGGAGATGGTGGGTTATTCTATTACTCTTTTAAAAATCAATCTCTCTCTCTCTCTCTCTCCTGGCAAAAGGTCTGAAACAATGCATATTTCAGAGGGGTAGTATGGTTTTCTCTGGGTGCAAGATTATGGGTGCCTTTTAGTCCCTCCTCTTTGTTTGTCTATATTTTCTAGTTTTCCTAAAATTAGCAATGTATAGCCCGGCTGGTGTGGCTCAGTGGTTGAGCGTTGACCCATGCACCAAAAGTTTGCTGATACGATTCCTGGTCAGGGCACATGCCCAGGTTGTGGACCTGATCTCCAGTGAGGGGCATGCAGGAGGAAGCCAGTGATGCTGTCTGATCAACGTCTTTATCTCTCTCCCTCTCCCTCCTGCTCTCTCTGAAATAAATTTTTTTAAAACTTATTTTAAAAATTAGCATGTATGCCCTGGCCAGTTTGGTTCAGCGGTTGAGTGTCAGCCTGCGGACCAGAGAGTCCTGGGTTTGGTTCCCGCTAGGGGCACGTACCACACACACACACACACACAAAAACAATTAGCATGTATTATTTTTATAATGCTAAAAAAAGTATTTTTAATTAATTTATTTATTTTTAATCTTGTTTATTGTGGAGGGAAATGAAGGGATGTGGAGCAGAGCAGGACAGCCCCTTTCCTCTCCCTGGGCGTCTATGGAAGTGGGTGTCAGGATTCAGTGACGTGAAGTGGGGCTGAGGAGGCCAGAGATAGGGACAAGAGATGAGAAAGGCAGCAGGAGGCCAGAGTGTGAGGGAGAGGTGGAGACAGTGAGGCAGGGACACCAGGATGCCACGTCAGGAAATCTGCACAGAAGTCTACCCCTCATCTTCCTTGCTGCAAGTCCAGTCTGGACTAGGTCTCTGAGACAGGCACAGGGTGGGAGAGACAGCCAGAACTACGTGGAGGTGGCAGATGACCAGACCGGAGGGGCCCGGGAGGATGGGGTGATGGAACACTCAGATGGGACAGGGATGAGGGGACCACTGCTTTTTCCAGGTCAGCCTGGGGAGAATATGCACTTGGGATTGCTTTTTAGGGGGAATAAGAGAACTGGGCACACTGGGTTTCTGAGGAAGAAATGAAACCAAAGCCATATAGACACGAGGTACAACAGAGAGGCCTGAGAAAGCACAGACCAGAGAATGTGGGTGTTACGAGAGGGCAGTGCAGGGTGCTGGGTGTGGGGAGAGATGCTGGAGTCTGCAATCTGGGAAGGGGAAGGGGTCAGGGCCCAGCCCTGGGAAGAACCAAAAGTCCCCAATTGTTGAGAAATAAATATATGTGGTGCAGGTCAGTAATGGACAAGCCCAGGTTCAAGGGCAGGGCAGCCAGGGGCCCAGGCCTTCGGGCTCCTTCCCAGCATGAAAGCTGGGGAAGGGCAGTGAGAGGTTCCCGGCCTGGTAGAACCACTGGATCTGGGACTTGAACAGGGGCAGGGCCAGAGCCCCTTCGGGAGGCTCAGGCTGGGAGCTCTGGAGCTGAGGGCTGGACCAGGAGTTGTAGTAAGTTTAAGTTTTAAAAGGAAGCAAAGGCTATCCTGTTAGCCAGGAATAGCAGTCAGTCTAGCTTCAGACTCCAGAGCCTAGGTGGGGTGAGGGAAGACAGACGTGTGCCATCTAGGCCAGAAGAGCTCCTGGGATAGGAGAGGGGGCCAGCAACTTTGATGGCAGCGCCCCCAACTCCGTGGGCTGGACCGCCACCCCACTTGAGGCCCTCAACCCAGTCTCCCTCCTTCTCTCCAGTCTTTGGAAAGCTGAGCTCCCCTGCTCCTTTCCTGGTGGATATTTGTAGAACACTAGAGATTTACTCCCAGTTGAAAAAAGTCTCTCTTATTAGCTGCAATTCCACAAAAATAATGTGTTTTTAAAGTTTCTTTTTTTCTCCCCAACCACCAGTGGCTTTGCTTCATTGGTGTTCCCCTCCCCCTTCAGCTGTATCTTCATGAACCTGTCAGAATTTCTGGGAGAGAGAGGCCCAGAGGCCGTGTCCTGGGTTAAAAGGTGCAGCTGTGTCCTGGAGCCCATTGTTCATTCAGGACCATGGACAGCCACACATAGCTTCACTCCCTCATTCCCCTATGGTGTGTTAATTTTTAATTGCGGGAGTAATACAGGAATGCATTACCCTTGTAAAAAATTAAAGTCCCCTTTAACTCCCTATCCCCCAGTCTAAGAGCTACATGAGGGAAAGAGCAAGAGGAGAAGGCGCTGTGTAACCAACAGGCACTGACCAGGCAGTCTGCAGGTACGTGTGACTCACTCTTGTAAGAATCACTCTACCATGACTCCTTCCAGACCTTTTTCTGCTTACATGTATTTTAAAATAAATTCATATTGTGTGTGGACTACTACAATTTGTTTTTCTCACTCAATAATGTATCTTCTAGATCTTCTAGGTCAGTTAATATAGAGCTGACACATTCCTTCACTGAACAAAATGTTCCTCAAATATAATTGCACAAAAATTTTAAAACACACAAAATATAACTATCAATTAAAGGCTATTTTTATCTCCATTTTTCAAATGAGTAAATAAACCAAGATCCAGAGAGGTCAAATAACTTGCCCAAGGTCACACAGCCAGTAAGTGGAGAAGCCAAGATTCAAACTAAGGCAATGAGGTTCCAGACTCATGCGCGCTCTTAGCTGCACTCTGCTGTCCCCCGTTAGGCAGGTAATATCTGTGAAGCTCTTAGAACAATGTCTAACACCGAGCAAGCACTATAGATGTGTTTGTTAAATAAAAAGCAAGTAATAATTCCATGATTGATATACTATAATTTGTTTAGTCTCTTTCTATTGTCAGACATTTGGGTTATTTCTAATTTTTTATTATTAAAAAGCAGCATTGTAGTGAACATCTTCATTCATTTCTCCTTGGGCACATGTTTAAGAAATAGAATCTTGAAAAGTGGATCTTCTGGCTCATAGCATTTTGGTATTTTTTAATTTTGAGAAATCAGCCTTATTACCAGGTAATTCAGCCTTTTGAACCCCTGTCCGTTCTCTGAGTGGTTGGAGTGGGGGCGGGGTGGGCCTGCTGAAGCATCTGTTCTCATGCGTCCTCAGAGCCCTGGAGGCTCTGCTTCAGTTCTGAGGTTGTACTTGCCCATCACATGAGCCCTGCAGGCCTCATTTCCTCATGTGAAATAAGGAAATAGGATAGAAAACATACAGTGCAATGTACACAGTAAGGGTAAGCATCATTTCGTGATTTTTGTTTTGTTTTGATCATATACATGTAGGTGTACTGTGCATTATAGTTTTAAAAAATACTGGCATTGAGAGCGTGCCTCCTGGCCTCTGGGCCCTGATCTCAGGCCAACGTGCTGGGATGGAACCTTCCACCACCATTTGTAAGTGTGGCAACTTGGACAATTCGCTAAACCTCTCTGTGCCTCCGTTTTTCTCAACTACAAAATAGTAATCAAAAACAGTGTGTACATGTACAATGGAATATTATTCAGCCTTAAAAAGGAAAAATTATCACACATCCTACAACATGGTGAACCTTGAGGACATTATGCGGAATGAAATAAGCCAGTTACAAAAAGGACATCGTATGATTCCACCTAGAGTGGTCAAGTTCAGAGACAGAAAGTAGAAGGGCAGTTGCCAGAGGCTGGGGGAGGGGTGAATGGGAAGTTTTTGTTAAATAGGTGTGAAGCTTCACTTTGGGAAGATGAAAAGTTCAGAAGACGGATAATGATGACGGTTGCACAACAATGTGAATGTACTTAATGCCACAAAACTGTACATTTAAAAATAGTGTTAAATGTTATGTTATGTATACTTTGCCACAGCTTTTTTTTTTTTCAATTTCTTTTTTCTTTATTGATTTTAGAGAGAGAGGAAGGGAGAGGGAGAAAAAGATAGAAACATTGATGAGAGAGAACATCAACTGACCACCTCCTGCATGCCCCCCACTGGGGATTTGGCCCACAACCTGGGCATGTGCCCTGACTGGGAATCGAACTGGCGACCTCTTGATGTATGGGTAGATGCTCAACCACTGAGCCACACCAGCCAGGCACTTTGCCACAATTAAAAAATGATAAAAATACAACAGAACAAAAACAGTGTGTACCCCATGGAGACACTGAGCAAATTAAACAAAATTTTAAAAAATCTTTGGTGTCATTCTTCTTGCTATTATTGTCACGAGCTCTCTGGTTGACTTGCTGTGCTGACCGGAGTTCTCCTGTAAACTCAGGAGTGGCATTCGGCTTCCATGCCTGGTTAATGTGAGCCTGCCAGACAGAGAGAGTGCTCCACACTCCATGAGCTGATGAATGGTGTTTTTATCCAAGAACTTCAAGAAAGACCTTATTATACATTTTGAAATTATTATGAATAATGTATTAAAATTATTATCCTTATCCTTGATGTTCATTAGTGTCAATTATGTAAGTGTCCATGTGATAAATTCCTTCTGAGAGTCTAACGTCAGGGGAAAAAAGCATTTCTTCTGATGCACTGGTAAGCTTTTGTTCATCAGATGATAAAAACCCTACAACCCACTGTGCTTCCCTGTTTACACCGGCTGCCCAGCAAAGACACACATAAGTGTTACAAGTGGCCTTCACTGGTCACGCCCTCTTTCTACCTCTCCATTATGTACGTTGACCTCTCTTTTAACAGTACTCATATGCACATGTCCCTTTATTGTATATTATCCTCAATTCTTTCGTGGACTTCAATCTAAAAAATGATGGAAAAAAATGCAACATAATAGAAAAATTAAATGATTTAAATTCTCACTCATGTGTCCCCAGCTGCCCTGATCTAAGACCCCTAAATAAAATGAAAGTGACTCAGAGGTACCTTGAGAGCGGGGGAGGGGAGCCACGGCCGGCTGTGGGTGTGGCGGGGCTGTCTTACCTTATCAATGCCCGTCTGCCTGCAGGGAAAGGAGAACGTGAAGCCCAGAGGCAACTGGGCTCCCTTGAGGCCCATGTAGTCCAAGAAGTCGGCGATGCACTGCACGATGTGGTCAAACAGCTACAGGGAGAGAGGGGCGGTCACACCAGCTGGCAATGACACGGGATGGCAGGCTGGCACCTGGAGCACGGAACCCACAGCCCGACGTTTACCTCCTCGCCGGTGCCCTGCATGATCTCCAAAGGAATGGCGAAGATCTTGTTGTACATTCTCACTGACCTTCGTCCACTTCTGATTTTCACCAGGAGGACCCGGAAGTTGGTTCCCCCCAGGTCCAGGGCAAGGAACTTCCCTTTCTCTGTGGTGGAGAAAGCAGAGGCTCCGTTCCACCAGCGCGCACAGAGCAGACTCGTGCAGAGGCACTGGGGGAAGAGGAGGCGAGGAGATGGAACAGACTCCGCCTGGCACGGAGCAGGGTCGGAGTGCTGGGCAGGCGCTCGGAGCCTGTCTGAGGCCTGCTTTTCCTCGAATCGGGTAAAGGCCACAAGTGATACTTATGCTCAAGGAGCCTCTGAGGGTGAATCAGGCCAGGCTGTCCTGGCTGCAGTGGACTCCGGAAGGTGATTCCATCCTGCTGGCCTACAGGAACTGTTCATCACGGAATAGAATGATTCTTCCCATCCTTGCTCCCCTTCCCTGATTCCCACATCTCCACCTGACCAATAAGAAATCACATCAAGTTCAGCCCTCAGTACCGTCCCTGCCTCTCACTTCTCAGCACAGCAGGGCATCGGTCTCACCTTGTTCTCTGCCTCACTCACCTCCCGCAGCCACACTGGTCACTTTGCTATTCCTTGAATCTGCCAAAGGCATCCCTCCCGGACAGCTCTCTTACCCCTTGTCCCGCTCTGTTTTCCCTCACCGCACCTGTCATTACATGGCATCATAGGGCAATTGTTCACTGTCTGCCAGCCCAACAGAACGTAGGCTCCTCCAGGGTAGGGATTGTGTTTTCCTCACTGCTCTATCGCCATGACATATAGTAGGTGATTAATAAAACTTTGAACTTTGATGGAGGAAGAGGAGAAAAGGGATGAAGGAATGAATAACTGAACAGTATCCTTACTGCTCTCAGTCCTGCCCCATGTACACTCCAAGGTCAATGGCTCTGGAAAAGATGGTTGTTGTTGAGAGATCCAAAGTACAGCTGTGGGGGACTTCCGGTCAAGTGGGTGGCATAGGTAAATGTGGTACCATGTCCTCCCACAACCACATCAAAGTTACAACTAAACTACAGAACAATCATCATTCAAAACCACCTGAAATCAAGCTGAATGGAAGTCCTACAACTACGGAATTAAAGCAGCAGCCACATCCAGACTGGTAGGAGGGGCGGAGGCCGACGGGTTGGTCCCACACCCACGTGTGGCGGATAAAAATAAGGAGGACACCTCCGCTGAGAAGGTCCTTCCTGAGGACTGAGGGGTCCCCGTCCCACACCAGGCGCCCCGCTCAGGGTTCAAGTACCAGGAAGAGAAGTCCCCATAACTTCTGGCTGGAAAAACCAGCAGAAACTGAGGCTCAGGGAAGCTGACGCGGCTAAAGCCCCAGGCAGCTCCTTAAAGGGCCCGCAAATGAACTTATTGGACTCTCTCCCTCTAAGCTTGGAGGGGAGGCAGCTCGAGGGGCACCAGAGACACACAGGGAAGAACTGAGCTGTTTGGCACTGGAGCGAGGGCTGGAGAGGGGGCTTTCTCCTGGACAAATGTGCTGTCAGAGGCCTTTGTTCCTTTGGTGAGCCCTTCTCTGGGGTAGCAGACAGTCGTCATATCTGGGACTCCAGCAACCTGGCTCACACTGGTTGCCCCACCCTGGTGATTCCCTGAGGCCCTGCCCCACCCAACTTTCAGGCCCACCCAAGCTGTTGCCAGTTGCTTAACCATAGGATTGGCCTGTCTTGGATCCTGCTTCAGGTTTTCCTAAATTCTTTCAAACAAGCAGCATCTGGTCTCAGATTGCCCCATACCTCTCCTTAAGTAATACACTGAAACCAACACAGGGAGGCAGCCAAAATGAGGAGACAAAGAAACAGGTCCCAAATGAAAGAACAGAACAAAACCCCAAGAAAAGAACTAAGCGACATGGAGATAAGCAACCTAACAGATACTGAGTTCAAAATACTGCTTATAAGGATGCTCAATGAACTTAGTGAGAACCTCAGTGAACTTAGTGAGGGCCTCAAGAGCATAAAAAAGGACCAGTCAGAAGTGATGGATGCACAGTCAGAAATGAAGGAGGCATTAACTGAAATAAAGAATAATTTACACAGATTCAATGGTAGAGTACGTAAATCCAAGAAGCAAACCATTGATTTGGAATATAAGGAAGCAAAAAACACCCAATCAGAACAGAAAAAAGTAAAAAGAATCCAAAAAAATGAGGATAGTGTAAGGTAAGAAGCCTCTGGGACAACTTCAAGCATGCCAACATTTGCATCTTGGTGGTACCAGAAGGAGAGAGAGAGAACAAGAAATTGAAAACCTGTTTGAAACAATAATGGCAGAAAACTTTCCTAATTTGGTGAAGGAAACAGACATACAAGTCCAGGAAGCACAGAGAGTCCCAAACAACATGAACCCCAAGAGGCCCACACCAAGACACATCATCATCAAAATGCAAAAGGTTCAAGACAAAGAGAGAATCTTAAAAGCAGCAAGAGAAAAGCAGTTAGTTACCTACAAGGGAGTTCCCATAAGGCTGTCAGCTGATTTCTCAAAAGAAACTTTGCAGGCCAGAAGGGAGTGGCAAGAAATATTCAGAGTGATGAAAAGCAAGAACCTACAACCAAGATTACTCTATCCTGCAAAGCTGTCATTTAGAATCGATGGCCATATAAAGAGTTTTTCAGACAAGAAAAAGTTAAAGGAGTTCATCACCACCAAACCGTTATTATATGAAATGATGAAGGGTTTTTTTTGTTTTGTTTTTTTTGTTTTTTATCCTCACCTGAGGATATTTTTCCATTTTTTGTACAGATAGAGTGGGAGGGAGAGAGAGGAAGGGAGACAGAGAGAGAAACATCGACGTGAAGGGACACATCGAGTGGCTGCCACCCGCACGACCAACCAGGGCTGGGGACAAACTGCAACCGAAGTACGTGCCCTTAGCGGGAACCGAACCTGGGTCTCTCCGGACCACAGGCCGACGCTCTAACCGCTGAGCCAAACTGGCCAGGGCGATGAAGGGTTTTTTTGAAGAAAAAGATAAAATATATGAACAAACAAAATGGCAATGAATACATATCTATCGACAATGGAATCGACAAACAAAATGAACAGGTAGAACAGAAATATTCTCATAGATACAGAGAACATTTTGTTGGTTGCCAATTGGGAGGGGGGTTGGGGGAATGGGTGAAAAAGCTGAAGGGATTAAGAAGTACAAACTCATTGCTAGACTGACAAACCTCAAAGGGAAAGGGGTTGGGGGGTGGGAATAAATAAACCAAAGAACTTATATGCATAACCAGTGGACACAGACAATAGTGTGGGAAAAGGCGGGAGGGGGGAAGGAGTGGGGGAGGAGGGAGTCAATAGGGGGAAAATGAGGAACATCTGTAATGCATTCAACAATAAAGATTTAGGAAAAAAATTTAAAAATAAAAACAAAGTACAGCTGTGTGACCTTAAATATGTCATCTAACCTCTCTGAGTGTGTTTTGACATCCATAAAATGGGAATCACTTCTCTTTAGGTAACATACAAAGTAGTTGAGAGGATGAAATGAAATGTCCAAAAGCAAACTACAAGCTATAAAGCATCAGACAAAGGTTATTATTTCTGGGTGTGGTTCAGGAGGTTCAAAGAGGTGAAGCAACTTGTCTAAAGAACTGTCTCCACTGTGGACAGAGGACCAGGAGAAGGATCAGGGCTTGGAAAAGGCAGGGGCAGAAAGTAATGAGGGGAGAGCAACAGAGCCAAGCCTCGGGGGAGAAGAGAGGCAGAGAAGCCGGTAGGAAAACAAGCCAGACAACTGCAAGTGTCCAGGTGGCAGCTCCTGGGGACAGCATCTGCGTCTTCTGTTTGCCAACAACATGGGGTACACTCCGTGTCCTCAACTACACAGACACACACGCACCCTAGCGGATGTATTTGCTCACTGCAACTGCCTTGGATCAACCACCGTAAATAGATGCAGCAGTATTCCTACCCCCCATTACAGACATGAATCCAAAGCTCTTAAAACAAAACAAAAAAACCTAACTGGACCTAAGGAGCTTTGTGGGAGTTCTGGGTGGCCCTTGGGAAAAGGGAGCTGTGCATGGCCCACCTGTGCCATCCGGCATCCCACAGACGTAGGTGGGCAGCATCTTGACTGTGGCCAGCAGGTGCGTGTCCCTCTTCAGCCCATACTCGAGCTCAGCCCGCATCTTGTCCTGCACATCCACGAGCTGCTCTCGGGTCAGCTGGAACAAAGCCAGCACCTGGTCAATGAGCTTCCGCTGGGCCTGCACGCGGGAGGCCACCGCTGTCACCATGGCTGCCCCCTTGGTGCTGCCACTCTCCGACAGGAGGAAGCGGACGTCACAGTTCGGGACCAGTTTCCTCACCACTTTGTGCAGGCGTTTTGGGTATCTGAAGGCAGGGGTGATGGCAAAATACATGACAATCATAAAGGCCCGCGCTCGGCCAATGGGAGCAGACACAGGGTAGCAGTGGGCTGGGTCCTGGGAGCCCGGCTGGGCCAGGGCTCTCTCCCTTAGCTGCTAAATGGTGCTGGGCAGGGGGTGACTGGGGGCGGGACTGGGCAGTGGAAAGGACACTTGGGAGGCTCAAGGGAGTGGCTATTTTACCACTAATATTTCAACCAGTAGGGCATGTCCATGGCCCAACATCATCTCTGCCCAAAGGGGGTTCTTTCTCCAGCTCTTTCCAAGGTATACCTGCCTGACTTCCAGAGCCACCTGTGATAGCCAGAGAGGCTTCTGCACTCCCTCCTCTGGAAAATTCTCGTTTCCACTTGTTTTCCTACCCGTCTCCTTCACGTGAGTTTAGTAATCTCTATCATCCCGATTTCCCCCATCTATAACTGGGTGTATTTTTCCAATCTTAACACACAGTAGGTATCCAATAATAATGGATAGATGATGGGTGAATGGATGGAGGATGGATGGCCAGATGGCTAAACACAGGTGGCCTTGCTAGCCAGGCAACTGGCTTTAGCAGAGTATTTCTTTAAGATGCTCCCCAAAGCACCCAGCCAGCTGGATGGACGCAGTCTCCGAACGCAGCCCTTCTCCTGACTTCTCGGAGCCGACGGAGATGGCTGGCTGCAGAGGCAGCGCGTGTGGAGAGAGCACGGGCACTGGCCCCGGGAGACTCGCAGGCCCCACTCACTGAGGGTGGATCTTGTAGAGCGTGCCGTCCACGCCCACCGTGGTCCGCAGCCGCATCAGCTTCTTGTTCTCCCGCAGGCGAGTCAGGATGGCCGCCAGGGCCGCTGCGCACAGGTTGGCTGAGCGGAAGGAGACGATGGTGCAGACATGCTGGACCGCGACGCAGTCGGCCTCCGAGGGGTCCAGGCCCAGATCCGTGAGGATCTCTCTCGTATTGGCCAGGCCTTCTTTGTACCTGGCCAGGGGACAGAGATGGAGGACCACCGTTTTCCACCGCATGGGAGGCCCCTCGGAGAACCAGCTTTCCCACCTCTCGGGGCTGGGAAAATAAACAGGCTGGCACATAGCAGTATAGTAATACTATATCGAGAACGATCACGGGAGCCACCACGTGCCAGGCACTTGTGTAAGGACTTGACACGTGTTACCTCAGTGCTCACAACACTCCTGGGGAAATTTCGTCATTGCCCTGTTGTTCTGAAGAGACCTGAGGCACAGAGAGGGTATGTATCTTGTCCACAGTCACACAGCTAGTAAGTGCAAGGGCCAGGATTTGAACTCAGGCAGTTAGATTACAGAGTCCACCCTTTCAGCACCGTGTACTAGACTGCCTTCCACTGAAACTCAGTCCCTGGCAAGCTCTACATAAATACAGACGCAGGGAGTCTCATGCCATTTCACTAAGCTCAGAGTCTAAACTAATTACAAAGCTCAAGGCAACGCCAGGGTTTCTAAGCCGAAGGAACAGGACCCTGAGTTGACTGGGGCTAGGCCCCATTGCAGGGACCTGTGCCTGAGGCCTCAGATCCCAAAGCCAAAGCCAGTCCCAACAGTACCAGGTAAGAAGACTCTTGCTATAGCAGTTCTTAACTTGGATTCCATGCGTGGGCTTTAACGGGTCCAAGGATATTATAAGTAAAATTGTGTACATTTTGAGAATAAAGTTTCCAGGACTTGAATCAGATTTTCAAAGGGGTCTGTGATCCTAAAAATCTTATATATCACCTACATCACCACTTCAGGGAAGCAGAAAGCAACACAGGAGGAGGGGTAGGCCTTCATCAGCAGAACCCCAGGCTGCAGAAACCCACAATAAGCCACAGCTGAGTCACGACATGCATTGCTCCCCCACCTCGAGCTGTGACCAGGTCTCAGGCCATCCTGGTGAAGGAGGAAGATCTGGTCCCTTATGCTGTACCATCAGGAGAAGACCACACCTTGGCCGCCCACCCTAAACTAACCCTCCATGGTCCAGGTGGGAGGGACTCGGCTAGCAGCTTACTTCTCCATGGCAGCCACATGTCGTGTTTCAATCTTGCCCTTAGTGTGGAGACTGGAGGACTTCTTGCCGCCAAACAGGAGGCCCGCCTTGGCCATCTTCACCAAGATGAGCCTGACGAGCTCGCCCAGGTACAGGCCGCTGATCATCTTCTCAAACCTGCAATTGGGTGAGCAGATCAGTGGCAGAAACGCCTTTGGTTATGCAGCGTCCTTTCCCAAGGCCAGGAGCATGGCCGTGGAGGGGCCGCTCCACAGGTCAGGAGGCCTCCATCCCCATCCCAGCTTGGGGTGCCCTCTCCTCACCTATAAAGGGGAGGACTAGACTAGAGGACAGCTAAGAGTCTTTCCTGCTCACAAAGAGCTTGATTCCAAGAACCTTTCTCTCAATCACCCCTGGCCATGTGGGTGTCCTCATATTAGGCATTAAAATCTCAACTTTAGAGACCCAGTCATGCATGACAGATGCAAATCTCAGATGCCTCCAGCGCCCACACCATGCTCTGTCCGAGAGAGATGCTGTGTCTGTGAGACGGGCTTGGACAGCTTCGGGGACTCTGCAGTCATGTGGTGAAGTCTCCCAGCAGGGCCCCAGCACCTCCACTGAGTGGAGCCATCAAGCAATCACTAAGCGTTTCTCAGGTAAACTGTTAAATATCCTGCTTATTCTCCAAACATAATAAGAGGAAGTCAAGGACAACCTGCTTCCTAATCAACTTGATCTATTTCTTTTTTTTTTTATCCTCACCCGAGGACATTTTTCAATATTTTGTTCAGATAGAGTGGGAGGGAGAGAGAGAAAGAGAAACATTGACGTGAAAGGGACACATCGAGTGGTTGCCACCCACACGACCCAACCAGGGCCGTGGACAAACTGCAACCAAGGTACACGCCTTTAGTGGGAATCGAACCCGTCTCTCTCCAGACCGCAGGCCGACGCTCTAACCGCTGAGCCAAACGGGCCAGGGCTCAACTTGATCTATTTCATTATTTTAAAAAAATCTTAGAACATTGCTGAAGCAGAAGACGAAAGAAATCCAGGTTGGCTTTTGGGGACTGGAAATTATTTTAAGTGAAACGGAGAGGGCAAGGATGATCAGGAAAACAAGGGGACACCACTTTCTCGGGCCACGGTTGCCCTGCATCACCGGTGAGCTGGGAGCAGACGCATCCACAGCAGAAATTTACTTTCCAGGTATGCAGTTCTGTGTTTAAACATTTTCAGGAGGTACTTTTCACCAGGCCTTCTTGGAAAAATGGTTGATCCTAGGGCTGGGGCTGGGAAAATACATGATGAACCTGGAGCACCTTACTGGGCCAGAAGAAAAAGATTGATGGGAACATATCAAAGGATATAGGGACCCCCTTGAAGGGGTTCTGCTGGCCAAATCTGAAATATATGATAGGAAGAAAGTATAACCCATGAAATTTTTAAAAATCCATGTGTCCATATTAGTATAAATAGAGAAAAGGAGGGGATAAGCAAGCTCTTCCTTTCAGTAGAATAACAACTAATAAACAAGAAATGATGGAATGACAAATTCCCAGTGGACGCTGGAACTAGAAAATGAAAATTTAATGAAAAACAGGATGTTTACATAATCTCAAAGGATCTCTTCACCAGATACCTGTTCCTTACAGAGGAAATAACAATAAACGTATGGTGGAGAAACCTATTGCATGTCCCCTCGACCAGGTGACTCAAAGTCGCATCACTGGTGATTGGACAACACGTGCCTCCAGGTGCAGTGCCCTGAAGAGGACACACGTGGCTGATGGGAAGTTCCTGCCAAAAATTCATCACCGGAATCTGATCACAAGGAAACATCAGACAACCCAAACTGAGGGACATTCTGTGAAAGAAACGGCTTTGTATGCTTCAAGATCACGAAACACCAAGAGACACCTCAGAAGTGTGCAGGATTAAAGGAGGCCAAAGAGACGGCAGGAAATGCATTCTGTGATCCTGGGCTGGAGCCTGGGCTGGGACAGCTTCTTTCTTTATTATAAAGGACATTAGTGGGTCAGCTGGTAGATTTTGAATAAGGTCTGTAAATTAGATATCAGAACTGATTAAATGTTAATTCCCTGATTTTGATCATTATACTTTGGTTTCGTAAGAGAATGTACTTGTTTTCAGGTTATACACTCTGACGCATCAAGGAGTGGAAGGATGTTATGTGTGCAACTAAATCTTAAACAGTTCAGGAAACTATACAGATGTGTATTTTATGTACATGTGCATTTTCTGTGTGTGTATATATATATGCACACAAACATACAGAGAGAGAATATTTCTATTTAGGATATCTGAATGAAGGGAATTTTATATGGTATTCACAACTTGTCTATAAGTGTGAAATTTTTTTTTAATATTTTTTTTTTTAATTCAACAAACTCTTAAGGAGTTGCACGACTGTGTAAGCCACGATGTGTAGGAAGGAAAGAGACGTGATGTGGGGAGCCTGCCTCCAGGGGGCAGCATGCAGACTGAGCTGAGGCGGACCCTCAGCAGTTCTGCAGGAGTGGGGTGGTGCTGAGAAAGGTCCGGGGCCCTGGGGCTGGGAGGAATCACGCCCGGTGCCGTGTGACTCGGCCTCCAAGCAGAGTGCCGGAGCACCAGAAACCAAACGAGGAACCCGGCTGACTCCTGCCTCCTCCGCTGCACTGGTTCGTTCTGCGGCCACTCATGCAAAGGCGCCAAGAGGTCAAGACCTGTGTCATCGGGCTACAGCCGAACGTCCCCTGCCTCACACGCACATGCTCCACAAACATGGACTGAATTAAAATTAGGGTTATGGCCTGGCCAGTGCGGCTCAGTGGATTGGGCATCGTCCCATGGTCTGCAAGGTCCTGGTTCGATTCCCAGTCAGGGCACATGGCTGGGTTTTGAGCTTGATCCCCAGTGGGGGGCTGTGCAGGAGGTAGCTGATGGATGTGAGACACATCTATGTTTCTATCTCCCTCTCCCTTCCTCTTTCTCTAAAAAAATCAATCAAAATATATTTTTAAAATAAATAAATAAATAAAAATAAAACAAAATTAGGGTTATGACCAAGGCAAAATCACTCCATGTCCTTGGCCTCTCTTTCCTCATCTGCCCCGTGAAAGTGAAATACAAGCCTGGCCTCATTTACTCCCTGGGATGGATAACCAGCCACAGCTGAAAAGCCTCCCAGGCATAAAGTGCCCTCCGTGGCCAGGTCTTCCCTGGTGCCGATGCCCAGACTGCAGCGCAGGGCACTCACAGCTGCTTCCCTGGGTTGAGAGAGCCGAGGTCCAGGTCCCGGTCGAACTCAGTGCGGATGTCTTCCAGCGCCCCGTCGTCCCCGAAGGCCCCCCACTCGGTGTTGATGCACATCCTGCCCTCGTCGCCTTCCACCAGGTCGATGTTGCTCAGCTCCTCCATGTAGCAGGCATTGGTGCCGGTGCCTGGGCAGGGTCAGAGAGACAATGTGAAGGCAGAAGGGCTCCCCCACCCCCACCCCCCCCACCCCCCCCCCCCCCCGCGGGGCAAACACAGAGCCGACCCTGGGCTGCCTTCAAGTTCTCTGAATGTACCACAAAGTGCTGTGATCCGCCCGGGGGCTGGTTCTCCCGGAGGGAAGCAGCTTTGGCAGGCCCAGGCAGTTCCTAAGAAATGACGCCTGCACCTCAAGTCTATGCTTCTCAGTGTTAATGGCTTGCTGTTCTGAATGAAGTCAGTTGTGAAGAAGTCCCTAAAGAATCTGTGTGAAAGCTGACAAAACACATTTGCAAAGAGGAGGATGAGTTAACCTAACCTTATATGTTTTTTAAGGAATTATCAACCCACAGTAATTTTTAAAACCCTTTCCCTAAGCTACTTAACCTCTTCTCTGTTTGAGAGTAAAAATAGTCTTCATTCATGATCTGCCACAAATTGTTCCGAGCATAAGCTACTTTCTTATCTTTGACAGTGATTCGCTAGCACATAAGAAAGCAAATTTCATTACTGCAACAGAGAATCACTCCAAGGAAATGCCTCACACACTTGAGTATTAGGAGTGAGTGCCAGTGAGCACAACGTGTCTGGACCTACCGGGATGATGGAAAAGTTCCCAAATCAAACGGTGGTGATGCTTACAAAGCTGTAAATGTACTAAAATGTATTGAATTGCACACCTAAAATGAGAAAATGTTATGCCTCAATAAAGCTGTTTTTGTTTTGTTTGTTTGTTTGTTTGTTTTATCCTCACTCGAGGACATTTTTTCATTTTTTGTTCAGATCGAGTGGGAGGGAGAAAGAGGAAGAGAGAGCGAAACAGAGTGGGAGGGAGAGAGGAAGAGAGAGCAAAACATCAACGTGAAAGGGACACATTGAGTGGTTGCCTCCCACACGACCCAACCAGGGCCGGGGACAAACTGCAACCGAGGCACGTGCCCTTAGCGGGAACCGAACCCGGGTCTCTCTGGACCACAAGCCAACACTCCAACTGCTGAGCCAAACTGGCCAGGGCAATAAAGCTGTTTTTGTTTTTTAATTTAAATATCTTCCCTGGCTGATCCTTTGTCTGAGGATTATAAAGGCAACGTGAAAAGTAAGATGCAGGGAAGCAAAATGCAATGCGATGTTTGGGAAAAGCCTTCTCAGAAAAGCGTGGACGCTGTTCAGGCACGGCACCCATCCTAAGCACAGTCACTGTGGCGGGTTCCCTGACACCGTCCCCAGCACAGGGCACTGTAGCTGACGCCGTGACTGGCATGCGCCTGTCCCAAGCTGAGGTGTGGGCTCCAGAAATGGAAGGTAGATCAAGCCTCTTAGGTGTAAAGATCCTGCCTTTACACCTAAATCAGGCTGAGGAGAATGTGGTTAGAAATTAAGAAAAAGCATTTCAGAAATGTTTCCCAATAGTGGTAAAGGAATGGGGAGGTGCAAGGGCGTGTTCAAGAACAGCCTGTAAACCCCATCCATTTGGCATCAGTTGTCCCCCAAACTGCCTCCTCATGAGCCCCTCCATCAGAGCCCCTGCCAGCTCGGGGACCCCACACACACGTCTGCTGCACCTCCCTGGTCCAGCCTCCACCGAGTCCCGCCTACACAGTGCAGTAGTCTCTCTGCTGGTTACCTTGCTTCCACTACTGTCCCCAAGAGTCAGTTCTCCACCCAGCAGCCAAAATGAGCTCTTTAAAAATGCACACCCCATTTTTCCATCCCCTACCCAAAGTCCTCCACTGCCTTCCTCTCTCTCGGGAGACAGACCCTAAGCCAAAGACCCTCCGTGCCTGTGTCTGTGACCTACGCAATCTGTGCGGTCCCGTCCCCTCTCTCGAACCTGGATACCCTCCTGCTCTCGGCTGTACTCTCCTGGACGCAGCTCCCACTCAGCCTCGAGGGTTCCCCGAGCACCCAGACCCGTTCCCATCTCAGAGGCCATAGTGTCCTCCTTCCTTGGCCCAGGACTCACCTCTCGATCTCCACTTTGCTCCCTCCTCCTCCTTGCTGGGGTCCCTGCTCAGATGTACCCCTCAGAGTCCTGCCTGACCACCCACCACACTACCCTCAGTCACAGCACCCTGTTCAGTGTCCTCATCACAGCCAGGATGAGGACCCCTGGAATCTCCTTATTCGTTTAGGCCTTTCGCCTTTCGCCCACCTCCCCACTGAACGCTCCGTGAGCACAGGAACCCTTGAGCACCAGCTCACCACTGGGAACCCAGTGCAGAGACGGCCCGACACTCAGGCACCTCGTAAGCACTTGCTGAGTGAGTGAATGGATGTGTGCTCCAATTTTTCATCTTCCTGTGTTGTTTCTCCTAAATAGACAGCACCAATACCCCTCCCACAGAATCCACTCGGAGTTCACTGAAGCTAAGCCCCAAACCAGCCACATTCCCACATCCCCAAAAAGCAAGTCGAGTTGAGTTACCAATGATGACACCAACTTCACAGTAAGGATCATCATAGGCACACGTCATCATGGTTCCCACGGTGTCATTGACCAAGGCCAGGATATCCACATCGATGTCCTGTCGCAACACAAGCCCCAGAGGACATCAGTGGGTGGGAAGGGGACAGTACCTCTGTCTGTCCCCACAAAGAAAGCGGAAGCGCTGAAGGTGACTGACGGAGGAGGTCCCTGGACCCTGCCTGTTGGGCTGCCTGAGAGGAGCAAGGCCTTTGTCAAGGCCCAGGGGTCTAGGTGAGGGAGAGCAGTTGGGAGCTCCAGGGGGACCCATGCTCCTGCTTCATGGCTGAAGGCTCTGTGCAGTGGAAGTGGGCACAGCCCACCGGGACTCCAGCCCTCGTCTGAGGGACCCTGGGAAAGCGTTTGTCCTGGAAGCAGTGGTGTTTTCAGGAGAAGACACTCAAGTCCTCACCTGGGGGAACATCTTACCCAGCTTCAGCCAAGCCCTCTCCAGAGGCCTGGCTTTCTCATTCTGCCAAGTCAACCTGGGTTACTGCACCCCGGTTCCCCAAGGTTTGGGGGAGATTTTAAAGTAAAATGAAAACAATAAGAGAAGAAAACAGACTACCAGAGAATACGATCACAGCTTCAAAGAGAAAATACAGACTGGAAGGGTACCCCTCAAACAGTCCCCTTGCTGTCAGGGCAGCAAATAGTCTGGGTTTATTTGTGTGCTTTTCAGCTAGCAGGGAGTATGTCTTGCTTTTGTGGTTATTTAGATTATAGAATTTATTCAACAAATATTCAACTAATAGTTCTGGCCGGTTTGGCTCGGCGGTTGGAGCCTCAACCCGCAGATCAATGAGCCACGAGTTCGATTCCAGTCAAGGGCACGTCCCTTGGTGCGGTTCGTCCCCGGCCCTGGTTGGGTAGCGCAGGAGGCAGCCCCCGGATGTGTCCCTCTCACATGATGTTTCTCTCTTTCTCTCTTCCTCTTTCTCCCTCCCTCCCACCCTATCTGAAGATAAATAGAAAAATATTCTCAGGTGAGGATAAAAAAAAATTAAAAACAAATATTCATCGAATAAAGCATGGAGAGTGGAATAGAGCCCGACTGGAACGACAGTGACCTTTAGGCCTCCGCGAGGAGATGCGGGGATTGGAGGTCACACACAGCACGGGGTCTAACCAGGACCCCAGAAGGGGCTGCGGCAGCTGGGGAAGCCCCAAGGGCATGCGGCCCACCTTTCCACAGTAAGTGGAACAGCTCCACGCACAAGGCTCACCAGTGGGGTCCCCCGAATTGGCCGCACCTATACTGCGGTGAGCCCTCTCCTGAGATCAGTTCCTTTCCCCACCCTCCTTCCAGGGCAGGCACAGTGGACACCTGCCTCTGGGAGAAAGGGGCGAACATGGGAGAGCTCCCCGGGCTGACACAGATTCCTCACCTTGTGGTTTTTAATGGCTTTGGTTAAACGGCTCACTACATCCGTGTCCTGAATTCCCCGGGCCTTAAACTTCTTGGTCCATGAAAGCAGGACACCCTGGGGGAAGAATTCAGATCCAGTCAAAACAAAGAAGGTGCTCAGTTCTGGAAATGAGCTGCAGGAATTGTAGGCCTCAAATACAACCCCCTTTCTTCTTTAAGCTGAATCACCTCAATTTTTTCAATATTTCTTCAGAGGCCTTTCCACCTGAGCAGTTTGGAATAGTCACATGGCGGCGGAAAGAGCCATTGCTCAAGGGTCAGAACACGGGTTCACAGACATCGGACAAGTCACTTAACCTCTCTGCCCCTCAGTTTCCTCACCGGTACAATGGAAACGCCCCTTCCCTGCCTGTCACGGGAAGGCTCTGATGGACTCCCTGCTGCCCGGTAGACTCGTGTGTGCAGAACGCAGCAGAACTACAGTGGTGGGACTCACCCTCTAGAACTCCCTCAGGAACTCAAATCAACTCAGAAAAATGGTTCTCAATTTGCATTATCAATTATTTGCTTAAAATTGGTATTTCCCAAGAGTTTCTTGTCTAAACTAGCAAATAATCGTAGAATTTTTCAGGCTAGACAAAATCTTGGAGATCAAGAGACTTGCAGAAGGCCACACAGTAAGAGTAGCTGAGCCAGCACTCACAAACACCCTGACCACATATTCCCAACCCCCTCGGTCTGTGGATAAAGAAGCTGAGATTTAGAGGGGAAGGAAATCGCTCTAGGTCTCACAGCGGGGAAGGACCAGGCCTAACCTAACACAGGTCTGAGTCCCAGCTGGTGAGCAGGCTTTCCCCCTGCACCACAGCACCACCTAGCGGCCACTCTCCCAAACGTCTGTCCTCACCGGCTATAACATCCCTGCTTCACCTCAGATGCTGGGGTAGCCGCCCCACCAAAAAGGTGCTAGGGATAATGCCGGACCTTTTGGGGGGAGAGTACATGGAGGAGTGGAAAATAAGTGCTTGTAATGTACTGTTAAATGAAAAAAAAGCAGTACATACAACTATACATTTTTAAACTATATATAGAGTACATCAGTATTTAATACAGACAAGACTGAAAGGAAACCCCAATGGTTCTAGCAGTGGGTATCTCTGAACATTGGGTGATTCTATTTTCTTCTTTAAACTTTTCAATTTCTACCTCTCTCTCTCTCCACCCCCTCCCTCTCTCTTTTTGTTTTTCCTACCTTAAAGAAGTATTACCATTTTATTGTTAGAAACACACACAGAGAAACTGCTCTTCGGCTAAGACTTTTCTGTTCCCTCATTCAAAAACCAAAACAAAATAATGCAGAATGACCTCCTCTCTTAATTCCTATGCCCTGATCTTTGACAATGTTTTCGCTGCACGAGAAGCCCCTCAGCCAGACCTCTTCCTGCGGCTGCCTCCACCCACCCCCCTCTGCACTTACACGGCCGGTCAGACCTTCTCCAGGAGCGATTTTAGTCACAGAATCGACACCTGTGGCAGAACCACGGCTCAATAGCCCGCTCAGTTATTACTGTTAATGCATTCCCTGTGCCTAACGCTTTCTGCCTAACTTTTGACTTCACAAAAAGGCAGTTTGGGAGAAAATTTTATAAACTACAGGAAATTCAACTAGATTTGGATGAGAAAAGGCAGTTTTCACTGCCTCAATATAAGCATGCTCTCTTCCCTAGTTTGAATGTTGCCTGAAAATCCTTATTGGACTATGACACAAAATGGGTCAAAATGCTTCCAGGAAACTGCTGGCATTTTAAACAAAGTTCTAGAGCTGTTTTTCTGGAAAGGCAATTTGATTGCGGAGTTTGTAAACTTGGGCTGGGTTCCTTTTGGCTGCGTGGCTTTGGGCAAGTCTCTTAACTGCTCTGAACTGCAGTTTTTCTCAAATATAAAATGAAAATAATTATATCTACCTCATATGATTGTTTGGGGATTTTAATGAGATAAAACACACAGAGTTCAGCATAGTGCAAGATGCAATGTTAAAATCTGAGGTAGTGTTTATTACTATTATTATTGAAAGATGCTGTGGGTATTTAACTTAGATAAATGCAAAATCCTGAAAGGCCAAACCATACATTCACCCCTAATTGTCAAGAAAATATACAAGCTTGGTTCTGAAAGTCAAATGAACTCCCACAGAGCTTGAGAATCTTCTTCCTTCTTCCTGGGGTCTGCTCCTGAGCTCCGATAAGAGGTGTTGCACTATGTGGCGAATCCAACCTCCAGGCCTGATCCCTGCCTCCTCCTTCCGCTTCCTCTACTGATTCCAGGACCTCTGCTCTTCAAGCCAGAAAAAGATGACCCTGCAGAGCAAAGCTCCACCGGCCTCCTCTAACATTCCCTGAAAACTTTCTCGTACTATTTTTTCTCAATTGTTCCTAAAGTAACAAAAAAGTAAACTTCAGTCCCTCACCTGTATAGACAGATGATGGCAGATTCTCATTTAGTGGAATCAGGTAAATGATTGATTACACCTTTCAATTTCAGACAGTTACTGGGCACCGTGGAATACAAGACACTGTGCTAGGGACCCTAAGGGCAGAGGAAGGACCATGTAAAACAGTGCCTGGCCTCTAGAAGCATCTGTTAACTGGGAACAAGGGACAAAGGCTGGAAGAGACCAGTCCCACAGGGACAATCATGCACCGGGCAGTGTTGGGCATTGCAGATGTTTTGTCTGAGCTTTCCCTCAGCCCAGCAAGTAAATATTATTAACCATGTTTCACAGATGAAAAAACCAGGGGCTCAAGAAGTGAAGTAACTGCCCAGGGGACACAGCTTTTCTGTGTCTAGGTCTGTGGGACGTGAGAACCCATTTCCTTTCCACTATCAGACACCCTAAGTCAACAACATCAAACATGTCCCAGGGCGGTCCATGATGTCAAGGGGGTCCATGAAATGACTGTCACCTGGGTGTCATAACCAGTATGTGCGGTAGGAGGTCATGAGCCCTGACCCCAGACAGATGTGGCCTGGGAAGACCTGACTCTTGACCATAACCCCTGGCTCCAGAAAGATTATTACCCATTTTCTATATAGACCCTTACTTATTTTCACAGGTTTCTATAAAACTGGGTTTGACATCTCCCTGTTCACAGATTGAAAAGCTGAGGCACACAGAGGTGAATTACCTTTGCCCGCAGCTGGCTAGTGGCAGATCTAGACTGTGCCTCCCAGGAGTGGTGTCTGCTCAACGACATTGTCACCGCAATGACCCGCCTCCAGCCTCCTGCTAAGGGCTTCCTGGGGAGGTGGGGTTCCCTGAGGCTTTCCACTCTTCTCTAGTAGCTGTCAGCTGGTCCCCAGCAGCACCCTGATCACATGGGGACCTGTGAGAATGCACATCTAAGTCCCCACTGATTAAGAAACCCCCAGTGGGGCCCAGCACCCTGTGTTCAACAAGCCCTTCAGCAGATTCTGATGCAACCAAGGATCTATGAGCTACGCGGGAGAACCATTCCATCCCTGCCCTGTGCCCGTGTGAATGTAAAATCAGGGCAGCCACGCTGGCCAGGTCTCTGCCTCCCATTTCCACTTCGTCCTTTACAAGAAGAAGAAAACAACAAGGAAGAAAGTCTGCTGATCCACCCTGTTCCCAACCTGACTACACATCCCCAGCCCCAAACTCCAAATCCTGCACAGCGTCCTCCTCCCCAGCACCACCTTACCTCTTCCAGTTTGGTCTGTCTGCAGGGAAAAGAAAAGGTTAGGCCAAGGGGCAGTTTCTTATGCTTCAACCCTTTGGTGTTCATGAAATCTGCCAGGCAGTCAGCTACGTATTCAAACAGCTGCAGAGGAGAGAAAGCCCAGGACACTGGATTAGAGCCTGGCCACCCATAAACAAGGCACCAAGGCCTTCCCTGCACTTCCCAGAGCCCTGCCCTGGTACCTCGGAGCCGTTCCCTCGGATGATTTCATTGGGTGTTGGGTAGAACTGACTCTCCATCTGGACAGTTTGTTTCCCCTCTTCAGAGACTTGTACCTTCAAGACTCGAAACTTAGATCCTCCAAGATCCAGGGAAAGAAACTCCCCATTTTCTATTAAAAAAAAAAAAAGGTATTGTTTATTGAATGTCTGTTATATGACAAGATCTGCACTAGGAGTAGGACATGTAAGAAATGTCATCAAGTCACACACACACACACCCAGCTGGGCATCATTACACTCCCAGTAAGGACAGAGGGGGTGTGACCCAGCCTCATGGCCCTGCCCCCTCTGCAGAAGGCCAAGGCAAACTGCAGACACGTGGTATCAGGGGTGGGCCTTGGGGGGCCTATTCTAGCATGCCACCACTGGGAAGAGGCTGCTTCTCCCAGCTGGGGGACGCCGGTAAGGCCTGGAGGAAAAGGAGGGGGAGCACAGGGAAGAGAAACCAGCCCCATACAAGCCTCTGTCTCGTGGGCAGCGGGAAAACATGCCAGGAGGGAAGGGAGATGGGGACCAAATGATGGCCTTTAAGGAGCCAAGGATGCTCAATATTTTGGACCAGAGTCACTTCAAAATGAGAACATGTAACACCACACAGCCCTGCACAAGGCAGATGCTATTAATAAAACAGAGAAATGACACATGTTGGGACAGGGCCCACACTAACGTCTTCCCCTCAGGATCCAGACAGAAGTCCTGCCCGGGACCCCTGCCAGGGTCCTCAGCCGCAGCCATAGAGGTAGGATGAGAACTCGAGTGTGCAAACCCTTGAACCAACAAGCCTTTCTACAGAACTGTCTGTGCCTGAAAAGTAGCTACATGTACCAGGCATGCGTCAAGATATACGCCCAAGGCTCATGTAAGTGAAACGCCACGCCCACAAATCCACGCACCCACGTGGCCTTGTTTGGTACCATGTGACCCGACACAGCTGCATGGATCGAAGGGGCCAGCTGGCCATTCAGATTCGCTCCTCGTGAAACAAAACACACGGGGAAATTCCTAGTAGGTGGTAAAAACTGAAATGAAAGCATACTGAAACCGGGTAGCCAGGGTGCCCACAGGGAAGCAGACCGAAACCATGGGGAAAAATTCTTGAGTCTCAGTTCCCTAGAGGCCTGAGTCCCACAAGGTCCTGCCTGGAGCTCAGAGCTAGAGGCAGGCCCTCAGGTCCTCTTCAAACATTAATGTGCTCGCCACTCTCCCAAGGACTTTGTTAACACAGACTGTGGTTTCGTGGAGGTGGAGCTCGAGATTTTGCATTTCTAAACCAGCTCCCAGGTGCTGTTGCTGCCGGGCAGGACCACAGGTAGAGCAGCAAAGGTCTGAGTCCTCATTTATAGGCCCAGCCAGCTGGATCTTTTGTTTCTGTGGAGACACCTGGAAAAACGAGAGATTCATTTCTCCCTAGATCAGCCCCCAGAGGAGCCTGATGGGCCATTTATTATTCAGGGAGGGAACTCAGGAACCTAATCCTGAGCACATTTATTGGTATCAAGCAAGAGGTGCCAAGTAACATGCAGGTGCTAGGGATGCACAGACAGGATGGTGGGCTCCGTCATCAGAACAACAACCAGTCAGTCAGTCATTCCATCTAGTAGGGCAAGTGCTCTGGTCGTGAGAAGCACAGGGAGCGCCACCTAAATCAGAGCTGAGCAGACAACCCAGAGAAGGTGACAGTCCGGAGAAGGGGATGGGCCCAGCGGGAGGAAACGGGGCGAAGAAAGGAGCTCTCACTAGGGGGCCGGGGGCAGGACTGTGCGGAGGATGTGACTGACATGAGGCTGCAGCACTTAGAAAAGCCGCCCCACTCCCAGGAGCTTGGGCTTTATCCGGACGGTGAGGGCAAGCCACAGAAAGACGTTAAGCAAGGGAGTGCCAGGGTTTAACCGAGATTTTGGGGAAGCACCTCTGGCACCAACCAGGACAGACAGGTTTTTTAATAAAAGAGGAGGCTCCTGTGCTGCCATCCAGACTGGAGATGATACCGGAGACCCGGCATAGCGCCGGCATGGACGCATCCCTTCCAGGCCACCAGGCCACCATCACTGGGCCACTCCCGCTCCACCAGGGACTCAAGATGCTATTTCAAGGAAACCACTTGCTGCGATCTCTTCTGTGACTCTGACACCAGAAAAGCCTCATCTGCCCCAGGGGAGGGAGGACCTGCTCTGAAGAAGTGGGGCCATCGGGTCCTTACAGTCATGGTTAAGATTATTATGGGCTGCCACCATGAGGATGGAATGTACAGCATGGTGACTGAGTTACTAAGACTATACTGCATATTTGAAAGTTACTAAGAGTAGGTCTTAAAAGTTCTCATCACAAGGGAAAAAATGGACCTACGTATGGTGATAGATTTGAACTGGACTTACTGTGGCGATCATTTCACAATATACACAAGTATTGAATAGTTGTGTCATACACCTGAAACTAATATGATATGTCAATTATATCTCAATTAAAAATAAATTAAAGAATAATAATTTTTTTAAAATGACCTCCCAAGAGCTGAGGTTTCCTTAACAATCCACCTCTGTGGAAGTTCCTGTGACTTCCAGGCTGCGTGGACACCCGGGCTTCCTCTCCTAAGCCACGGTCAGGCTCGGGCCTCTGCTCCTTCCAGGGTCTGGTGCAGCCTCTCCCAAAGGCACAGTGATTGAATGTGGAGATTCGGCACGCCCAAGGGGACAAGCCTGGGAAACCACGGGTTTAGGAACCGCCCACGTGAGTCTGATGCTCAGACAAGTAGGGGACCCCTGGACCTATCAGCCGACTATGTCATGGCTCACCCTCCAGGAGGCATAGGGGTCTGCCTGGAGGAAGAGGCCAAGAAGAGAGGCAGCTGTGCCCAGGCCTAGAGAATCAGTCTCCTTCACAGTCAGTGATGGGCACGCCCTCAGGGCGGGAAGGAGAGGCACAGCCGATGCCCACACTGTAGGGCACTTTGTGAGACAGGCAGTGGCAGCTCCCTGGCTGAGGAGGTGGCCGAGGCTCAAACGGGCTCCCTCCCCGGGGCAGGCTGGGGGGGGGGGAAGGAGCGGAAACGACAGCGGGGGTGAGCGCAGAAGGATTTCTCTGGAAACTGGATGCATTTCTGAAATGGTGGCCCCAAGGGATTCGCAGAATTCTATTTGTTGGTTAGTAGTCATGAAACTACACCCAGCGCACAAGTGGCTGCAGACTTGGGACAACGCTTAGGAGATTTTAAAACACTCCTGCCACATAACCTCATCTGATCCTAACGACCCTGAAAGCTGCAGGACAACGGGCCACAGCGCTTTCATTGATGAGGACAGGAGCGGCGGCCCGGGGACTCGCCAAGGCCTCTGGGCTCAGGGCCTCACCGCAGCGGGGTCACTGCGAAGGTTCACTGCGTGATGAGGGGCTCTGAGGAGAGACGGTGTCTCCTGGCCTGAGGAGGAGGGAGTTCCTAACACTTGGTCAGTTTCGGCCGGTCTGGCTCAGCGGTTAGAGCGTCGGCCCGCAGACCGGAAAGTCCCAGGTTCGGTTCCCGCTGAGGGCACGTACCTCGGTTGCAGTTTGTCCCCGGCCCCAGTTGGCGTTGTGTGGGTGGCAACCAGTCGATGTGTCTCTCTCACATCGATGTTACTCTCTCTTTCCGCCTCTCTCCCTCCCACTCTATCTGAAGATAAATGCAAAAAATGTCCTCGGTTGAGGATAAAAAAATAAAATAACTTGGTCAGTTTCACTTCCAAACCTTCCTGAAGCAGCCGGGGCCGGAAAGGCCGCCTCCAGAGGCCACTCACTCTCTGGTGCTTCTAGGGACGCAGCTCTGCAGGAGGAGCTGCAGCACAGGAAGCCGGGAGGACTTTGCCCTGTGCCTCCCCACACACACGCCCCATGACTCAGGTGTGCCCTCCACATAGCTGAATGACCTGCCAAGGACCACAGGCCCCACGGCACTCAGAGCAGTATCAGGAACTGGCAAGATTTCAAAGCAGGAGTATCTCTTCCAAAGCTCATGTTCCTCCAGGGCGGTACACTGCCCACCCTCCGCACCCCCCACCAGCAAGGCTCCCAGGGGCCTCTCAAAAGGCAGAGCCAAACTACTTGGACCCAGGCATTGCCCTAAGGGGGCCCAGAACCCAGCTAATCCAACCAAAGGCCCCCGAGAGCCCCCAAACTTCAATCCTTGCTCCTTTAAGAGCCCTAAAGCCCCTGCTGGAGCTTGGTTGGAACACTGGGACCCCGACATGGGGGAACCTCTTGGTCCTTGGTATGCTCATCTGACGTGAGGATAACACTTACACCATGGGGTTCTCGTGAGACGGTGAGTCCCTGGCACCCCATGGCCACAGGAGGTGCCTGGTAGATACTAGTTCCTTTCCTTCCTGTGGCCTTTCCCAGAGGCTGAGAATGGGGGAGTTGGATGGAACCGCAAAGGTTCCTCCTAGAGGTCTCTAGACTGTGGTAAGCAAAATAACGGTCCCCCAGAGGTGCCCACATCCTACCTCGGATCCTGTGACTTTGTTAGCGTGGCAAAAGGGAATTAAGGTCACAGATAAACTCAAAACTGCTCATCAGCTGAGCTGGAGGTCGGGAGATTATCATGGATTATGTGAGTGGGCGTAAAATAAATCAGAGGGTCTTTAAATGTGAAGAGGCAGAAGGGTGAGAGTCAAAGACAGACTGGAAGATGCTCCACTGGGCGCTAGGAAGAGGCCTGAGCCAAGGGACGCGCAGCCGCCAGCGGCTGGAGAAGGCGAGAGATGCCCCCCGGCCCTCGGGAGGCACGCGGCCCTCGGGAGGCAGGCACGCGGCCCTCCGCACGCCTGGACTGTGGCCTGGCTGAGACACTCACACTTCTGACCTCCGCAGCTAGAAGAATAAACGTGAGTTGTGTTAAGCTGCTACACGTGTGGTAATTTCTTACAGCAGCAATAGAAAATTAATACATAGGCCAACTCTCTCATTTTACAGATAGAGAGACTAAGACTATACATTTTGCCAGAGGTCACTGTGGAATGGCAGAGCTGGGCCTAGAACCCCATTTCTTGAATATTGTAATTTAACATTGTTTCTACTGTCATGCTATCTCCTATTGCTTTCTATGAGCCTAGAATCTAGGAGTGAAATGCCATTTGTTATGCATTCAACAAACATTTCAGGGCCTAGCGTGCACTGGGGAGACCCTCACGCACCACAGGGTGACAGGCCCTCTGGCAAGCACCTAACCCAGCACGGGGATGCTTCCCAGATGGAGGCAGTGATCTCTACGCTGAGACCCAACAGCTAAGTTGGTGTTCATCAGGGGAAGAATGTTGAGATGTCCCAGGAGGAGAGGGAACAGAATGTGTAGGGCCACAGTGAGCAGAGAAAATGAAAGGCACATGTGAGCTTTGGTTCAGTACTTTTGGCATAGAGTATGACTGAGGCATAGAGTATGACTGAGGCGTATGATGTGGAGAGAGGGCTGGAGAGCTTAGCCAAGGTGCAGAAGCAAACCTCAGGTACCCGTCAGCCCAGGAGGCGCGGGGTCCAAGTCCCTGGCAACCCTGGCGCACTCACCTGAGCCATCTGGAATGGCCCTGACGAAGGTGGGCAGCATCTTCACCGACGCTGTGGGGTGGGTGTCCTTCCCCAGGCCCTTCTGCATTTCAGCCTGGAACCGAGTCATGATGTCCAGAAGGGCCTCATTGGAGAGCCGCATGTGGTACAGGAACCTGTCCACCTGGAAGATACCGGGGTGACCAGGGTTGGCTGCCGGGGGCACGTGTCCTCCAGTCACGCTATAAATTCCCACGCTCATGATGAGGCTGCTTGGGGACAGCTTTGTGATGCGGGTTCCAAAGTTTCCGTGCCTGACCCCTCGCTGAGCTGGGGACAAGGTGGGGAGTTGGAAGAACAGAATGGAATGAAAGGCTGGAGGAGGTGGGATTTATTCCTTCAAAGGGAAAGCTTTAAGGAAGAAAGGATTCCCCCATTTTTCTGGTGGGACAGTGGAGGGGCAAAAACTAAGCACGAGTCAGGGTTTCCAGTCCCCAGCTCAGCGCCCTCACCAGTGTCATTGCCTCTCCCCTGGAAAAGACCAGCGATGGCTACGACTTGGAATTCCTGAACACGGAGGCTTTCTTTAAGCCAATGATGACAGTGTACCAAACACGCTTCCCTCTGCTATGGGCTGCTAGGAAGCTCGGAGCTAAATTCAGTGTCCAACCACCGTCTCTAAATCCAGCCCTTCACATCTCCATTATTTTTAACTGAGGTTATTCTAATTAAGATGAAGTTTATTTCTAAAGCCAGCCCAAATTGCTATTGGAAATGAGTGGATGCCACTCAGGTAACCAGGAAATTGGGTCACAGGACTCCCCCCCCCTCCCCCAATGGAGGGAGGTTATAAAAATCACTAGCTCTGCTCAGTTTACTTGAAGGTAATAATGTCACATCAAGAATGGCAGAACAGCTTCCTTCCCATGCTAATCATTGGGTGGTGGCAACCTGGATTCCTAGGGCTCCCTGGGATGGATTGTTGGCCGGGCAGGAAGAGGGACAGTGGCCCAAGTGCCCTGCATTTGCCACCCCTACTTTGTATACTGAGTGGCCTCTCCATCCATCCAGGTCCCAAGACTCGATCCCAGCATGTTCCTGGATGAATTGCTCTCCCATACCTTCGTCTAAGGCCAAGTGCGTGCACTGTAGTCTACAGGGTGCTTTCATCATCTGATCGCCATGGCGTCCCCTGAGGCAGCCAGGTCAGGCAAAGATCATCGCCCCTACTGAGAGAGAAGGCCTCCCACGTTCAGAGCCTCTGAGCAGACTAGGAGCTGGAGGTCAGGGACAGCACTGGACGACAGTCCTCACCACATGGCCTGGTTTTGCTTCACAATTTTGTGCGGGACCCACAAGCCCAACAGACAAATTATACCAAAAGTGCAAGGGCCATGTGACCTTCATCGCAGGACAGGTGTCCAGCCATCAGCCAGGCCTCGAGGGCGGGCAGGCATCCCCGCTCACCGGGGCCAACACGGAGACCGAGCCAGTGACGCAGCCCACGGTTCCAGGGACTTGGGGGCCAAAGAGAGGCCAGAAAACCATCAGAGAGCCATTAGCAGAACAGGACAATTGGGCTTTCAGTGTGTTTGAGAAGACAGGACAGAACCAGGTCATGCTTCATTAAGGACTTCCGTTCACCCTGAGTCCGTTCATGACTAATTTGTTGGCACTGCCACGCACACGGAGAAAACCAGCAAAAGGGACGTGACCCAAGTAATTGGGGCTTGGGAAGGGTGAGATGTACACAGGAACTAAGATTGCTCCCTTTGTGACCCCAAGGCCCCTCTGACAGTGTCCCCAAACCTATTGTTCATTTTTGCTCAGCCGCAGAGAACTCTGGGCACCCACAGTGAAATCCCTTCTGTGTAAGAGATGGTTGGAGGCCCTGTTTGGGCCATTCACAGGCTGCAGTTTAACAGTCCTTCAGGGCTTTGGGTTACTACTGCTCTGTTTTAAGAAGTTCAAGTTAGGACAGAAAGGATGTCAATTTAGAAACAGTTTCTCAGTTCGTCTTTGTATCTTCCACAGCATCTGGTACAGTAGCCAGAAGGGAAGTATGAAACATAGGATGGGCCCAGCTGGTGTGGCTTGGTGGTTGAGCGTCGACTCGTGTACCAGGAGGTCGCCAGTTCGATTCCTGGTCAGGACACATGCCCAGGTTGTGGACAAGGTCCCCAGTGGAGGGCATGCAGGAGGCGGCCAGTCGATGTTCTCTCTCGTTGATGTTTCTGTCTCTCTCTCCCGCCTCTCTCTAAAAATCAATAGAGAAAAAAGAAACATAGGTTGGGGGGAAAGCCCTATATTTTAAACTCGAGTAGGTGATGCGGGCCTGTGTAGACAGGCCCACAGGTTGCAGGCACTGGGGGAGGGCGCTTGAGTTACAGAAGCCAGCCCACCTTTGGAGTGGCCCACAAACCATGCGTGGCGGGAAACCTCCTACACAAGAGAGCCAACAAGCAGCACATTTGATGTAAGAAGAGCAAATTTAAAAATGTAGGCTCAGCCTGGCTAGTGTGGTTCAGTGGTTGAGCACTGACCCATGCACCAAGAGGTCGCCGGTTCGAATCCCAGTCAGGGCACATGCTCGGGTTGTGGGCCTAATCCCCAGTGGGGGCATGCAGGAGACGGCCAATGATGTTGTTGTTCATTGATGTTTCTCTCTCTCTCTCTCTTTCCTTTCCTCTCTCTCCCTAAATAAAAATAAAATGTAAGTTCAGAACTTACAGAAGCAGAGATGTGGGAGCTGCAGGGACCTCAGCGATTACATAGTCCAAAGGTCCCGTATTAAAAATCAAGAGTCATAAAAAGGTTCAACTCTTTGACCCACTGATTTCACTTCTGGGAATCCATCCTTAGGAAAGAATCCTGAAGGTGGAGAACATTAAACACATCTCAATGCTTATTACAGCAATGTTTGTTTAAAAAACATGTTTTTGAAAGTAGCCTATCCAACAAAAGGGCATACATATCCAACTTGATTGAATATTAGGAAAATATTTAGATAACTATAAAGAAATGAAGAACCCTGGCCGGTTTGGCTCAGTAGTTAGAGTGTCAGCCCTTGGACCAGAGAGTCCTGGGTTCGATTTCAGCCAAGGGCACGTACCTCAATTGCAGTTTGTCCCCAGCCCCGGTTGGGGTCGTGTGGGTGGCAACCACTCGATGTGTCTCTCTCACATCAATGTTTCTCTCTCTCTCTTCCTCCCTCTCTCCCTCCCGCTCTGTCTGAAGATAAATGCAAAAAATATCCTTAGGTGAGGATAAAAAAAAAGAAATGGAGAAATGTACATAAGTGGTTACAGTATAACAATAAGTGAAGGACACAGTCCAGAATCGTATGTACACTACAAATGCAAACACATACACCGAGAAAAGACTACAAGGGTTTCCACACGGCAAATACGACTATGAGAGGGCCAGGATTAAAGGTAACGTTTCCACTTTTCGTAATGTTGACTTTCTAAACTGTAAAAAGGATACTTTGAAAACCTAACCAGTCCTTTCCTTATGAGTGAACAACCGACAGGTCAGTGACCAGGCCCAGCCCAATGTTATCAATAGGTCAAATAATGTCGATATATTGAATTGGAAGGGAAGCTGTCAGAGTAGTTTCTTCCTTCCCTCCCTCCCTCCTTTCCCTTTTCTTTCCTTCCCTCCTTTATGTTTTATTTTGTCTTTGTTTTAATGTTGGTATAGGGAGTTTTTAAAAAATTGTCCCAGGGTCTGACTAGTACACCTAGCAGGCAAGTATGGCTCCAGATCTTGGCAGCACTAGAGGCAGGAAGCACAGGGACTAGGAGGGGACTGGCTACCTGACCGGGGGAGAGAGGAGCCTGTGCCTTTTGACCAGGTGTGTATTTACCACAGAGCCTGTGACTCACCCCAGCATCCCATAAACCAGCCTCCCGTACTACTCAGATATCTGTTTAAGGTGGCTACAGAATTTCTGTACTACTCAGACACCTGTTTAAGGTGGCTACAGAACTCCCATACTGTCCTAGCCGGTTTGGCTCAGCGGTTGGAGCGTCGGTCTGCGGACCAGAGAGTCCGTGGTTCGGTTCCCGCTGGGGGCACGTACCAAAAAAAATTTCAATTTTAATTTAAAAAATGGAGATTCCCTGGAGATCCATGGTCGTCATTTAAAAAAACAACAAAAAACTCCCGTACTACTCAGACACCTGTTTAAAGTGGCTACGAAACATCCCTGGCCGTCCCTTCTCAGCTCCTTCTCACAGCTTTCTTGCCTCCCACAGGGCAGCTCGAGGCCTTGACCAAGGCTGACCCTCCAGCCGGAAGAACCTGGAACAGATCAATGGAGGCTGCATTTGCAGTCAGAGGGGCCTCCTGAGCCTGCGCCGGGCTGGTGGACAAACATATCTGCGTGATTCTAGGGTGTAACAAAAGACTAATCACCACAGAAGCCAAATTTGTTGTTTGTTTGTTTTTTCCCTTTATTGGTTTTAGAGAGAGAGAAAGAGAGAGGGCGAGAGGGATGGAAACATCGATGAGAGAGAACATTGATTGGCCACCTCCAGCATGTCTCTCACTGGGGATTTGGCCCACAACCTGGGTATGTGCCCTGACTGGGAATTGAACAAGCGACCTCCTGGTGCATGGGTCGGCGCTCAACCACTGAGCCACCCCGGCCAGGCAGAAAGTGGATTCTTAGGCTGTGTTGCATAGCCCGTTCCTACTTCTTTAAGAAGCCAGTAAAGGGCTTCATGAATCTAATCAACAAATGAACGTTAGGATAGGTTAAATCAGATGCATTTATAATATTTTAAGATTTGCTATAACCTCTAACCCAACTCTCCAATGAACAGGACTTCGTGAGAGTGTATCCCACCAAACGCATGAGAGTTGTGAGAGACCATGCCTCCACTCTGTTTGGAAAGCCCAGGGGCGTCCTGGCACAGTGGGAAGAATGATGGAGCAGGAGTCAGCAACTCTGGTTTAATCCCCTCAGCACCACCTTAAACACCTGGGTGACCTTGGCGAAGTCCACCTGCGGGGAGGACTTCCTTGAGCTGGTGTGGTTCCCGTGGCTACCGTGGCAGGCTGGGTTCCTTCCAGCTGGGAAAAGGCTATGGCCCCCAGGTGAGCCTTGGCAACTGTTAACCAGCCACCTTGGAATGAATTTTGTAGGCTGGTTGCTTGGACAAAGTGGCAAAAGAATGCACGCCACTGGCAAGCAGCGCTGCCAACAGGTACTTTGGTTATTGTACATTCAACCTCACATCCCTCTTGGTGCCGTGTTTATATTCTTTCAAGCGCATGAAAAATCATGTAATTACCAGTTCTCAACATTTCTTTAACGATCACTCTTCTTTCCTTTTGCCTTTCTCCCCAAGACACCCCTTCACCTCAAACAGTCTAACCAGTTTCTAAAGACTTTCTCCTCAATCCTTCCCACCTGCCAGGAAGTTCTGAGTGAAACTCAGGGCTCAGGGAAATAAGCAATGTCCAGCCTGTGGGAGATTGACTTCCTCTCCTCCTTCGAGGTTTTTACTGGTCCTGTGCTCCCTGTGTTTTAATGAGCTCTCTCAAATCCTGTGGACACAGGCAGGTATCAGTTCTGTCAGAGAAGAGTCCTTACCTTCTTGATCTGATCCTCCTTCAGCTTGGTGAAGTAAAACGCCATCAAGTGTACCGCAAACATTTTCCCAACTTTGTTTTCTCCTGAGACAGTCAGAGATTTCTGGGTGGCGTTGACTCCCACGTCTCCAGAGTACTGCCCACTTCCAGTTCAGGCTGGGAGCCTCTGGGGAACTAGGTGCTACAGATTAAATACTTCCAGGCTGCTTGGTTCAGTGATTAAACTTTGCCCCTCTCTCTGGTCCCTCCCTCCAGCACACTTGATTGTCTAACAGAAGTCTCGGGATGGCAGCTGAGGGTTGGTGGAGGGGAGGCAGGGGATGGATCGCTTGACTGTTTGAGACTGGTGACACAAATCCCGTTGCCTAGCAACACTCTCACGCCAGTAGTCCACCAAGACCACTGGGCTGACCAAGGAAAATCTGAGAACTTTCAACCAGCTGAGCTGCTCTGCAAATGTCCACTCTCAGGCTTTTCTCTTTGGCCCTGTTCTCCTCAAACCAGCAGTGGCTCCATGACTCCCTGCTCCTCTGCGGCACTGCCTTAATGAAGACTAAACATTGCCCTGCTCAGGGAGACTCCGAGAACGCTGGAACAAATCCCTCCATCTGTGATAGTCCACGGTAATGGAAAACAATGGATTAAGGTTTATCTATTCACAATGTTAAGCCAGAAAACCTTGATTTCACAGGTAGTGACCCAGAAAAAAATATGCAAGAGAAAGAAGGAACTGAAGTCGCCAGTACTCACTGAGAAATGTCTCATGCCACGAAGTTATTTGCTGTACTCGCCTGATTATCTCACTCGCCATACTTGATGTGAGGAAGACCCAGAAAGGGGCCAGTGTGTGAGTATAGCAGACCTTGCTCTCCTCCCAGTCATTGGTCAGCTAATGAAATCAGTGACAATAACAATAACAATGGTGTTAGTAGCAGCTAACATGGGTGGAGCATTTACTATTCCCATTTTTCAGATGAGAAAACTGAAGCCCAAAAGTGGTCAAGTGACTTATTCAAAATTGCAAAGCTTCTAAGTGGTACAGTGAGGACTCAAACCCAGGAGTTCAATACAGGGGCTCAGCTGTTAACTAATCATAATATTGCCTTGATTCTTCCTCCTGGCAATAAATGCTCAGTTGGTAACTATTGGAGCAGTAGCATTCTGCTGGGTTATTGTCAAGAATTCCGACTACTCGGGAAACTAAGCACAGACATACACTTCAACAGGGTCCTTCCAGGGGGCTGGGGAGGCAAATGAAGGAATTCTTGACCATACTTCCCAAATACTAATGAGACACTTTCTAAAATTAGCAACTGACCAGATGTTACTGGGCACCTGCCCGGCACTGCTACACCACACATCCTCTTCCATAAAAGGGAAGAAACATGTTCTCCTGATCAGCTTAGCAGCCTCCACTTTGTTTGCTTTTCTACTGCATAATCTCATTCATCAAAATAATTACAACCTAGTGCCTGGTGAGAGAACCTTCAAGAGCTGTCTCTCCAAAAGCCGCTGATCTCCAGCGCTGCTCCCCACCCGCCCATCACGTGGATGAGCCAATGGACGTATAGCTTAAGTCTGCAGTGCTTGATTGAAATTACTCCAGACACTTTTCTGGATCTATATCTGAGAAGTAAATATCAGACAATGTCTCCCAGATTGAAAAACCCAATCCTCTCGGTCTGTTAACCCCTCAGAATATGAACTCTCTTTTAGCTCCTTTACTTCGTCTATTATAAGAGCAAACAAAGGTTAATCTCTAGTTGTTGAAACTATTCAGTTCCCCAAATGTATGGAATTGTTGGTATTCTGAAACAGGGGTGTTATGCTTGAGTCTACACAGGCTGAGAAAAACATATTGGGGCAGGTCACCTGCCCACAGATGATAATAGCACTCATCTTAATTCCTCTATTGAAAGAGTGACCTTAGCCCAGCCTTTGTGGCTCAGTGAATTGAGCGTCATCCCATGGACTGAGAGGTCCCAGTTCGATTCCCAGTCAAGGCACATGCCCAGGTGTGGGCTCGATCCCCAGTAGGGGGCACGCAGGAGGGAGCCGATTGCTGTTTCTCTTTCATCAATGTTTCTATCTTTCTCTCTCCCTTCCTCTCTCTCTAAAATCAATTTTTAAAAATAAATAAAATAAAATAAAAGTGACCTCGTCCTGGCCAGAGTGGCTCAGTTGGTTGAGCACTGAACCATGCACCAAAAAGGTCACTGGTTCGATTCCCAGTCAGGGTACATACCTAGGTTGTAGGTTTGATCACCAATCAGGGTACATGTGGGAGGCAACTGACTGATGTTTCTCTCACATATCTGTTTCTCTCTCTCTCTCTTTCTCTCTCCCTTTCTGTCTAAAATCAATGAAAACATTTTTTTTTTTAAGTAACCTCTGTGATGCAGTACGGCACCACTGTCATTGATTTATTCAATACAGGCACAGCAGGTTCCAATGGCCTGAGACCAAGGGAAGCAGAGCTGTAGCCAAAGGTCTCTGCAGCCGCACAGTGTGCACCAGATAGGCAGCCTTCGCGACTTTAATGTGGCAAACACCACCAGCCGATTTCCGTCTGTTACATCATTCCACTTTTTTCCTAAGCATATCAGCATCTACACTACCTAGGTCTGAGTTAGCCTACTGAATCAGGAGGCTTGATGGTTATAAAGATCACGAGCATTTGTACTCATCCAGCTCAGCCCCTCACTTTTTCAGTCCAACCTTGGAACTTTTCTTACTAAGCTCTATGTAGCTATTCTAGGATAGCTGGGTGTAAGCGTATCTTGGATTCTGCCTAAGAAGACCTACTTGACCCATTTCAGTTAAAGTGTACTACCCATCTGCTGCAAATCCTCCGTGTACGAAGGGAAATGCTCTCACCTCTACACGTGTCTGTGCAGCTCTGCCTTTGGTAAGGCCTACAGAAAATATTTGCTTCTCTTTAAGCGGTGAGAGGACTAGAAATCCAATAGGATGTACCTATATTATTTAGTAAACACTTGTACAGTGTTTTACAATAGTAATCCCCACTGCAACTATAATTCTCTCCATTTTGCAAATGGAGAAACTAAGGCACAGAGCCCAACTGGTGCATGGTGGAATTGATATTTCAATGTGGGTCGCATAGCTCCAGAGTCCCTGCCCTCGCTAACCTGGAAGCAAAGCACAGGGGAAACGCGCCCCTAAGCTGGGACACCCAGCCCAAGGCTGGTAGCACAGTGCAGTGCACGGGCCCTGGGTTCCCTCCTGGGCTCTGCCCTCACTGGAGAAGAAGGCCCCTCGTTCATATCTGTAAAGGGCTCATAGCGGCCTCAGTGGTCACTATGAGAGTGAACATAAATGAGACCACATAAGGAGAGGCATGTGGGCCACGGTGCGCAAGCTACAAGCATCTCTTTAGCCTTCACCTAGCTAGGACCCTTATTAAAACTGCTATTTCATCTCATCGCATTCAGCCCTTGCATTGTTTTCAACAAAACATGACTAGAACCCATTAGAAGGTACCAGTTGCATTTACTGGAATTAGAGAAACAGTTAGGAATTTTATAAATATTCTATTCCTGTTACTAAAGGAACTAGAGCTTGGACTCTGCCCCATATTCTTTTTACTGATAAGTCCAAAGTTAAGTTGTCCATGTCAGTCCGACCTGCCGATTCCACTTGCTGCGAAAGAACGAGACCGTGTTAGAAAGCAAACTTCCATAAACGTCTAAGAAAAAACCTGCAAATACTGCCGGTAGTGACAGTTACTATGGTGTCTCCATAGGATCAACCCCAAATGAAGCCGAAATGTTAACCTCAGCAAGTTTCAAAAGAATGCTACTGATCTTTTTTTAATGGGTTTATTCCAAGCCCAAGAGAAGACAGAATGCTCAGGAGGAAATCGATTGCACACAATTACTTTTTTATTTCAACTGTATTGTATGTTAAGAGAGCTGTATTGGCAAAATACACATCAAGGAAAGCCATACAAGGAAAGGTGGCATTTTTCAGAGTAATGACAATTACAGTTGCACAAAAGAGCAAACTTCTAAAAGAAAATGAGGCTTCTGGTTAAACGTGGCATACAACCACTAAGACAAAGAGCAATGAAATAGTGATTGTTAAGAGAGCTGGACATGCCCTGGCTGGTTTGGCTCAGCGGTGAGAGCGTCGGCCTGCGGTCCAGAGAGATGCGGGTTCGGTTGCCGCTAAGGGCACGTACCTCAGTTGCAGTTTGTCCCCGGCTCTGGTTGGTCGTGTGGGTGGCAGTCACTCAATGTGTCCCTTTCATGTCGATGTTTCTCTCTCTCTCTTTCTCTCTCTCCCTCCCACTCTATCTGAACAAAAAATGGAAACATGCCCTTGGGTGAGGATAAAAAAAAGAGAGAGAGAGAGAGCTGGACATAATTTTGGAAGAGAGAAGCTGACAGAAAAGCAGTGGTTTGGCAGAGTAAACACTGAACCCTAAGTGTCTGCAGAGAGTGATCTGCTAAGAAATGAGCAGTGGTATTTATAACTCGGGAAAGGCTCAGGATTGGCGGCCCAGATGCCTCTGAAAAGTGGGAGGCAACACAGAGAGCCGAAAACAGGGATTGGCTAAAAGTCTAGATAAAACAGCAGTTAGGCCCCAGTCGCGCCCCTCAACCTAGAGCAATGAGTGACCACCAACCCCCACCCCTACAGGAGACTGTTCATTCTCTGCAGAGATTGAACCCAACAGCCTCTGGACTTAGGACCGACCATTCAGCACCCTGGGAAGTGGGAGTGAGGTACCAGACTGAACACAGGACACAAAGTGAAGCCTTCAAGCTGAACAGGAGACCCTTCTGTCTGATTTCCGCCAGTAGACATCCCTTCCCTCCCTCCCCAGGAGGAGTTTGGGGATCCATTTTTCCTCTGGTAAAATGAAATGGCCTCAGAGGAAAATGTAAACACCAGACACAGAAAAGGCGAATTACAGAGATAGTGAACAGATCAGTGGTTGCCAGGGGTTTGGTTGGCGGGGGTTAGACTGAGTAAGCAAAGCCCAGGGGAGTTTTAGGGCAGTGGAACTATTCTAAATGACGCTGTCACCGTGAATACATGACAGACACATCTGTCAAAACCCACAGAACTTTACAGCACAAAGAACGAACTTTTATATATTTGAATTTTTAAAAATTATTTAGGAGATCAGGGATGCAATGCAGACTGACAAAAGAACCTAAGTGTATTA